GAGATGATTGTTAAAGACCAGAGGCCTGTTCAGTAAAGCAAACGTTCGCGAGCGCTCGCTAAAATTACTTATACCTCCAATAGTAATTTTGACGAGCGCTCGCGAACGTTCGCACTGCTGAACAGGCCTCAGTTCATCGACGCCTAAACGGACTTTGATATGCGTCTTAGAATTCAGCAGTCACTGACCAAATCTTTAAATGACGCAGTTCGGCTGGCCGTGGAGATTGAAGCTTTTTGAAGAGCTGAACGCCAGAGAAGACATGATGTTAGTTTTGCCAGAACAGCACATAGTGAATTAGAGGGACAATCGGAAGCTGATACAAAGGTACAGGAAGATTTGAGACAATTACGAGATGAACTTCGGTCGTCACTGCAAAACCTTGTGAACAAAATAGCCACTTTGTCAGAACGCAAAGAGACCAGTAGACAACAAGTTCGATACCAAGTTCCGATCAAACAAGGTTCCCTTTTTAAGTGCCATAACTGTGGTAGGCGAGGTCAAAGGGCTAAATACTGTTATCTTACAAGGAGAACAGAGATATGTTGTAAAACGTGCAATGCATGCACGACATCCTCAAAGGAGACAGTAGAACAATCAAAGTACTGAAAGTACTGGGAAGCGCTAAGCATATTGAAATTTTAAATTCATCAGATTTTATTTAATTTAAATTGCCTGTTGTATTGGAATTTAAGCAATATCTAGGGCGAACACAGTTGTTTGATACATAATCAAACATGTGAGTCTTCCCGTTGGGATATGAAATTCAACATTGTCTTATGCTTTTTTATTTTAAGCATTTTACATTTTCTTCTTCTGTCAAAAGATCAAGCAATTTTTCAAACATGAAATTACAAGAAAATATTTCTTCGTTCCTTAAAAAAATATATATACAAATTAAATGACAGATATTAAGTCCAAAGAGCAATGCATTTCTCAAAACTATTTATAAAAAAAGAAAGAAAAAAACATATTTTCTTTCTCTATCGCATTACAGGAATCTATAAGAGGTATATTAGCGTATAAATCGCAATTTATTGAAAGGGGGATGGTCGACGAGTTTTCATAAATGTAGCCATAAATTTGCTGGAAAATGAACATGTCTGTGTATTTCTAAATTATTTTGAACACTTGAAAATGCCGCTGAAATTCCTTTCATTGATATGCAACAACGACAACTAAAATGTTCTGGTAATAATTTTTAATAATAATTAAATTCATTGCCTGTTTACGAGTGTTGCAAATTGGAGATTGGCTGTTGGTGACTGTACTTTAATTTGAGAAATTGCACTTGGAAAATAAAGATGTTATTTGTTTATTGCGTCGATGAAAAATTCATTATTGATATATTATTATTCATTACAGTTATGAATAAACAACTCAAAAATATCGAATACAAGTATTCTTACTAAATTAATTTTAGTATATCTCTTTTTATACATATTCAAAAGCGATGTATAAATTTACGATTTTCTAGAAAGAATTTTACAAGAAATACATCAATGGAGTGTGTAAGGTATGAGTGTGTAAGGTATTTACACAATCGCTACGAGCGTCCAGTATTTGAATAAAGATAAATAAAAATTAGACTATATGAAACATTTTGTTTTGAATGGCACCCGATCCTACCTCTGATGTTGTAGACACATCTTTACAGAATTAAACTATTTATTCCTAGTTTCCTAATACAAGTATCACCGTGTACACTATTGCTTACAATTTCATCGGCACCATTCCTGTCCAATGCTAAGAAAGTTTAATTATAGTTTTTGCATTTTTCTCCGTATTTTGCGCACTGTACACACAATTTTAAAGCACATTATTCTAACAACTACTTTGTTTGTCCCAATAACTTTCAGTATCTTTCATATATATAAATGTGTTTAAGAAATTAGTTTTTCTATTTGAGGGGATTCGTTGAAAACACAGCCACCACGTGCCCTACATTATATACCTACAGCCGCAAACTGCCCTTCATTGCGAATTATTTACATCATATTTCCTACCCATATTACAAGTATAGAGTATAACACAAAGTGTAGACAGTCCTTGAATGTATTCCCGTCTGTTATTAATTGATACTGGGATGCGAAAATCAACTTCATTGATAGCTCTCTGCAGGGTGCAAGGGTGATAACAGGAAGACTTGTTTTAGTTGCATTGGTTGAAATTAGGTTCTACGAGTAGAAGAAGAAATAATTGTTTATATGGACATACGTTATATAGAATGTACATATGTAAGCACATAGTTAATTAATTTTATGCGAAATTTTCTACAAAGTGACTCAATTCCAGTTCGAGTTTTAAATACTTTTCAAAATAAAATCTCAGTTTTAAAAATATCTACTTATTTGATCACTACATTAATATTGATCACTACATTGTACATGACATTTAATACACCATTTTTAATTCAGTATTTGCGTCATAGATGCAGCAATTGTTAGCTACATGGTACACATGTGATGAATGCCGACACGATTTAAAATGAAATACAATATAGAGATAAGCATGACAAGAACAGCCCTTATCTACTAACGGTGGGTTTTCATACAATGTACATGCATATCTTTACCTACTAATTAACTCCTATTATTAGAACTGCACGTAACTCAGTGCAAGTACTACACTTAAATAGCTGAAAAAGAGTCGGGGATTTCCAGTTGCATATTTTTAGAAAAACCAGAGGAGTTATCCAACTTGCTTAGTGGCGCTGGATCGCGAACGGAAGTAGATTTACTCTGACAGAAAGCGCTTTGCGCTGCGCTTAGCGCTTAAAAAGAGGCAAACGAGGCTAAGCCTAAGAATAGGAAGTCTAATACAAGTTCAGTCACTCAAACAAGAGTTGATGTTCAGTCTGGTTTATTTATAACGGCTAGTGTTAATAAGGTGCCTTGTACATTGTTAGTGGATACCAGGGCTACACTGACGATTTTGTCAAATAAAGTATTTGAGACCATGCTTAACACTGAAACTATCAATCTGATTCCTGTAACAAAGAAAATACTAGTAATACTTGCCGATGGAACACTATTACAAGTGCAAGGTAAGTGCACATTCGACTTATTGTTGGGAAATCATGAGTTCACTTTTGAGGCAGTGGTAGCAGATTTTGGCAATGACAGCATCCTTGGTTTAGATTTTCTAAAATACTTTAAATGCTCCATAGACGTTTCTTCGGATAAAATGTATGTTGGAGGAATTGACCATGAGCTCCACCTTGAGTGACGTTTACCTAGGGTGTTTCAGAGTCTGTGTGAAAGAGACAAGAACGATTCCACCAAGGAATAGAAAGATATGTCCTAAGCAATTTCATGCATCTACGGACACGAATAAACGAAGATTCGAATGTGACAAGTGCGACAAGGCATTTGCTAAGCGTTCCCTTATAATAAGACAACAGAAAAGATTACACTCAACTACTGGTTTGCAAGATGGAGAAAGCAATGTACCATTGAACACCAAGTCGGTAGTTGTAGATGGCCATGATAATGATTCTGACTGGCAAGAAGATCCAGCTGACCTTATTTATGAGACAGGCCTTAAAGTTGGTAAAACCATCAGGAAGAAAACTTCGCCCAGTCTCCCTGTAGTCAAGCGCAAGGCAGACGAACTTGTAGACAAGGTGCCTGACCAATGTGAAGACAAAGGTTCAACCCTGGTAGATGGTGGTAAGGATCATGAGGCGCCCATGGTTTTACATCACTTCCCCTGCTGTAAAGAACATGTTATTAGGTTGGATGTGAGCACTCAGACGGACAGAAGTCGCCACCAGAGAACAGTTAGAGTTGTGAGGAAGTACCAAAAGGATGGTGAATGTGTGGAGAGAGTTGAGGAAGACATTTGAAATGACTAATTATGGTGAAGTACTTATGAAAAGAAACAATGCACATGTACATAAGTCTATTGTTGTAAATACTTGAATAATTGTTTAACTAGGTATAAGAAAGGAATTCTTAACCTCGTTTTGTTGATCTTTTATATTGTCTAAAAAAACGTAACCAATGAACATGTGGGACGCAAGTATACAGAGGTGTGGGTAGTGTAATAAATATTTAATAAGACAATGGGCCTATACCATTTAAACGTTGGTGTGACCTAGAATAATTGAACAGTCCAGGAGCCTCCACACCCCTGTTTGAATGGTATAGCCCTTGGCTATATAAACAGCTGTACATACAGTGTCGACCTTTTCAGAAACCCGCAGAAGAAGTGTAAAGTTGAAAAGAAGATATTAGGTAATCTTAGAACAGAAGAATTAAAACAGTGAAATAAAATTAAGGCTAGGGTACAGAGCGCCGGTAAATGGTAAGCCAAGAAATTGTAGTGAAGTGCAAGGTATAGTAATCCTGAATAAGGGTGAGGTACCGAGTACTCATTACAATAAGAACTTGGTTTCGGAACCAGGTGCAGGGAGCCCAGTCATACAGGTAGTTCTTGGTTACAAAGAACTTTTAATTGTATTCCCCTGTTTTAAAAAAAAGGACAAGTGTCCCCTGAAAATCATAAATCATTATTGTATATAATATTGATTCCCCGTATTAATTATAGGCTCAGACAGAGCCAGAGGAAAAGTTTATATATATATATATATATATGGGTAATATTAAGACCCTGTATCTCCTGAAAACGGACCCTTAAATTAGGTTACACGTTACAGTAGTAATTTAAAAAAAAAATGATACCATATTCATTGAGTAAATGCAAAATTCCATGTTTAGCCGAGGGAAACTTAAAATATCTTTCCGATGGAAACGTGAAGTAGAAAGCGCATTGGCGTCGGAATCAAATTGAAAGGATGTAAATTGCAGTCGGTATTAAAATAGGAGTTGTGGATTAGAGATTGCTACACGTCACCCAAGAATGGTCAAGTGTATGGGAGGCCCCAACAAGTTGTGTACTCGAAACATAAAGCACGGTATGCATTATGTGCATGTTATAACAATTCTTCAAAAGTTGAAATGAAACATCGCATAAACATTTTCCTTATCAATGCCTACCTATAAAGAAGAAAATAATCCAGACAATAAATTTCATATTTGTGTAGATTTTATGGAGGATTAAATGATGTTCAACCAAACTACTCAGACGTACGTAATATAAATGGGTGACATCCCAGACCATAACAATAATTGAAAACGGAAGGAAATAAAAGGAAAGAGATACTTTGCTGAGAAGGGAAATTACGCATTGAATCCTAACAAATTCAACTGGAAAAAAGGAAACATTTCCTTTAACATCATTTATTTTAAGTTTTTAGGTCACCTGAGTAAACTCAGGTGACCTATTGCTATCCCTTTTCGTCCGTCGTCGTGCGTCGTTCGTCGTGTGTTAACATTTGAACATTTTCAGCTTCTTCCCTGCAACCACCCAACCAATTTCAACCAAATTTGGCATAAAGCATCTATGGGTGAAGGGAAACAAAAATTGTGAATTTCACGGTCCCTGCCCCCTCTGGGGCCTGAGGGGTGGGGCCAAAACCACAAAAATTAATGCAATCTTTTAAAATCTTCTTCTTTACTCCTGGACATCAAGCAGTCAAACTGTTAGCATGAATATAATGACCATTGAGTTCTCTACCAAAACTGTGAAATTCATGGCCCCAGGGTCAGGGGTTCTAGTGCTAGGGTGGGGCTCTATTGATTATATAGTGAAAATGCATTATTTCTTTAAAAATCTTCTTCTCTGCTCCCGGGTATTAAATAAACTAACTAAGTACATAGTTATGACGAGGAAGAATGCCTTTTGCAAAATTGTGAATTTTATGGCCCCAGGGTCAGGGGTTCTGGTGTTGGGGGGGTGGGGGCTTTATTGATTATATAGAGAAAATGCAGAATTTGTTTGAAAATCTTCTTCTCTGCTCCTGGGTATTCAACAAACTAACTAAGTATATAGTTATGATGGGCAATAATGCTTCTTCCGAAATTGTGAATTTTATGGCCCCAGGGTCAGGGGTTCTGGTGTTAGGGTAGGGCTCTATGGGTTATATATAGAAGAAATTGTTTGAAAATCCTCTTCTCTGCTGCTGGGTATTCAATGAATTAACTAAGTATATAGTTATGATGAGCAAGAATGCTTCTTCCAAAATTGTGAATTTTATGGCCCCAGGGTCAGGGGTTCTGGTGTTAGGGTGGGGCTCTATTGATTATATAGTGAAAATACATTAATTCTTTGAAAATCTTCTTCTCTGCTGCTGAGTATTAAATAAACTAACTAAGTACATAGTTATGATGAGCAAGAATGCCTCTTCCAAAATTGTGAATTTTTATGGCCCCAGGGTCAGGGGTTCTGGTGTTAGGGCGGGGCTCTATTGATTATATAGTGAAAATAGATTATTTCTTTAAAAATCTTTTTCTCTGTTCCTGGGTATTAAATAAATTAACGAAGTACATAGTTATGATGTTGAAGAATACCTTTGTGAATTTTATGACCCCAGGGTCAGGGGCTCTGTTGTTAGGGCGGGGCTCTATTGGTTATATAGAGAAAATGCAGAAATTGTTTGAAAATCGTCTTTTCTGCTCCTGGGTATTACGCAGATGATCTACCTATATAGCTATGATGAGCAAGGGCCATTCTTCCTGAATTGTGAATTTCAACGCCCCTGGGTCAGGGGTACCATAGAGGGGGGGGGGCTCTACTTATATACTGGAAATGAATTAATTGATTGAAATGTTCTTTGTATTAATCAATTTTTTTTTATATGCAAGGGTGCCTTTTCCAAAATTGTGAAATGTGTGGACCAAGGGTCAGGGGTTCATGTGTGGTAGTGGCACTATACTGATTATTGCTGAATATTACTGATAAGTCGAAATGCATTTTTTGTTCCCCTATTCTGTCTATGGGTATTCAGTAACCAAACTAACATGTAGTTATGACAAGCAATGGTGCCTCTTTCAAAATTGTGAATGCCATGACATCTAGTTTAAAACATGAACCAAAGTCAATCGTTGTAAAGTTGTTGCATGATGCTCAGGTGACTTATAAGGCCCATGGGCCTCTTGTTAATGCTCGCATCTTCAATGTTTCTTTTTAAACAGGAAGCTCTTTTCAAAAGGAAAAAATTTTGGTCCCGGACAGCTTTCGGTGTCTAAGTGAATGGGATGCTACATGTATTATTATCATTTTACAAACAGCGTGACAGTTTGCTTGATGGGGCGAGCTAAATCTTTGTGTGCTGGTTATCTTTTTACTCATCGATTGGATAAATGAAATCAATATTAATTTGCATAAAACTCGGAATACAACAATTCCCTGATAATACTGGCCAATCACATTGAAGGGTTGTTTACTAGTACAGCATTTGTAGTCACAAACAACACGTGGTCAGTCAAAGCCCGTTTCGTTTTCTGTCCTCAGAAAAGCATGTATTATATTTGTTGTGATTTGACCGTGTGGGTTTTTGAATACGTATAAGAAAATTTTAAGAATGGAATTAGTAAGGCTACTCTGCTTCTGTTGTACTATATATGTACGTAGCTCTATCAATATCATCATTATAGGAAGTATTGATAATACTTATGACAAATTGTGTCAAATATGAACGCCTTGTCATATGTCGTTCGAAAATAATCATTAAGGTTAATTTAAAAAAAAAAAAATAAGTAAAACATGAAGAACAAGGTTTAAACATCAGGGCATGATCGGAAACATCTTGTTAACTTACAGGTAATGCACATAGTATGTCAAATACCAGTATGAAAGCCCTATCTCTTCTAAATCAAAATCTATAAGGAAAGATATCATGTTTGAAAAGTGGGACAAACGTCAAGATCAAGGTCACAGGGTAAAAAATCATAGCATATTTAGAAGGGCCTTGTCACAGGTATTTTACATGTACATGAGTAATTTGGAAGCCCTAAGAAGCTCTACTGGTTTGTACTTATAACAATAAAGGAAGACAAAAGTAGTCCTTGATTGAGTTTCTTTTTGTGGCCAGATTGCAATAAGACAACAACTGTAGGAGTAGCTTTAAATAAAATTTTACAAAATTTACAACTTTAGCTACACTGGCAACATCATTCATTAAATCAAAGAACAAAACAAGGCACTTATGTATCTCATTGTACCAGTAGTCTATTTGTATGCCACATTATATTAAAGTCCGACTAAAACTGCATTTGGAGTAGCATTTTTAAAGTGTTTCAAAGAAATTTCTATTTTCGTAACCACGGCAACAATGTCCATTGAAATCGAAAACAGATAAATAGAATTATATATCTTTGTGTAGTCTACTTGTGTGCCAAGTTATATCGAAATTAGACCAAAACTGTAGGAGGAGTAGCATTTTGAAAGTATTTCACAGAAATTTCCATTTTTAGTAACCACGGCAACACCATTTATTGAAATCAAAAACCTATACAGACTTATGTATCTTAGTTTTGTCTAATTGTGTGCCAAGTTATATTAAAATCAGACTAAAACTGTAGGAGAAGTAGCATTTACCATTCATTGAAATCAAAAACCGATACACAGAATAAGTATGTATCTTAGTGTAGTCTACATGTGTGCCAAGTTATATTAAAATCAGACAAAAACTGTAAGAGAAGTAGCATTTTGAAAAATTGATTACAGAGAGACGGACAGACAGACGGACGCTGGACGCATTACTATCGCATAAGCTCTTCTGGTCTCTGAACAGTAGAGCTAAAAATGCCAACATTTTTTTAATAAAAGAAGGTCAAAGTCAAAATCACGAGGTAAAAATCGTAGGATACTTAATAAGTTTAATGTCCCCTAGCTTTTGCGAAAGCGGGGAGACAATAAAAGCAGTTTTGTTTTATGCCCCCGTAATCGAAGATTTGGGAGTACATGTATATAGTTTTTGCCCTGTATATATATTTTTCTCCGCAAAAACTTTAACCTTCCCCGTAACAGTGGCGGATCCAGGAATTTCGTAAGGGGGGGGGGGGGGGGCAGTAGAAGGCAGGGGATCTTGTGGCTTTACTGAAGCCCCCAGTGGGTCTAAGACAAGGTCCTTTTGGGGGGTTCGGGGGCGAAGCTCTCGGAAGGTGACAATTTATTACAAATAAGAGATGTTTTTCCTTGATTGTAGGATAATGGACATACAAGTTTTATATACAAAAATTTTCAAACGGGGGGGGGGGGGGGGGGGAGCCACCCGGCGCGCCTGCCCTGGATCCGCCTTTGCATAACTTTTGGCTGGGGGGACTATGACTTTTATATGTCACATGTGTACTCCTTTTGACAAGGTCTTTCTTTGGATACCACCAACTTTGACCCCCTTACCTTGTAGTTTGGCCCACTTTTACAAAATTAAACCAACTTCTGAACAGTTAGTGCTGGGGTTTTCATGCTTCACATGTATATTCATGAATTGTGACTTACTGCACACACTTGGAAATTTGGCATAAAAAATAAAATAACGTGTATACATGAACATGATAAAAATTCAAAATCCATATTTTGACGTTAACATGAAATAAGCGTTACGTCAGACCAGTCTGTGTGGCTTGCATATACCACAGGTGTTAAAAAAAAAAAAAAAAAAAAAAAAATCCGGAAAAAATTTCCCATCCTCAACAAAAAAATTCCCACCCTCAACTTAACAAAAAAATTGTCGATAAAAACTTCAGACTCCTGAGCATATACAAAGTATTCGCACATAATTTATAATGTAAAAGCCTTTGTATATTTACTAAATCTTGGTCTATATATATCAAGTTTGCGTCTTGCTATATTTCCAATTAAACGGTAATTTAACAAATTTGTTACAGCGTATTCTTGCCCAAAAACTATCATTTATATTCATGGAAATAATTAGGAAATGACAAAAGTAATGTTGCTATCATTACAAAGCAGATTATCATCAAACTTACAAATAAGGATGAAGCTCTGCTGTAGATTAATATTTTCCAAGGCATCATCCTGAGAAAAAGGGTGTGATCTCGAGGTCACTTCAAAGTTGACCAAAAATAATGTTTTCTAAAAACACTGACACAAGGCCCCTTTGCCTCCTGTTTTGAAATGTTTTTAATGCATTTTGCTAAAAATACCCATCCACCTTCTTCATTGATTTATTGATGTAATACTAGTACTCATTATGTGGAAAAAAACATTCTCATTCTGCTGAGAAGTAAATTATCAAAAAGTTTATCTATTTTCTGATACATAAAGATAAAATTATCTGAACTAACTGTTTACTACCGGCAACAAGTCAAGTCCTTATTCAAAGATATTTTATAAAAATAAAATGCAATATCCAAATTTTATACTTTATTGAACTTAAAATTGAGAAGAAAATATTAGATATATGTGGAATTCACAAAAGTATACAAGTCATGTATATTCCTAACATTTACAAGAGCATAACTTTTTAACTTGAAGAAATGAGTAATTACAGTAAATTAAATTTGCGTCACCACTCTTCATACTATATAGTTATTATACATGTACTTATTTACAAACTGATCAACTACATACAGTAAAACACATTTATAGTGAACATGTTTATAATGAATTGACGCTTATAGCAATATCATTTTCTTTCCCTTGGACTTGAAAATATATTGAATATTTTAATGGATATAATGAAATTAAGCTTGTAACGAAGCAATTTTTCCATCTTCAGCACTTCGTTATAAGTGTGTTTTACTGTAGAGTGGCATAACGGATAACAGGTATACTGTACAAGTATTTAACCAATATCAAGTTGCTGAAAAGTTTTAATACATATTGCAGTACATGTATGTGTACCCCTAAAAACTTAGATGATAAAGGAATGCAACCAGCAAATTACAAGCACTAGCAAATAAATAAACAGAATAATGTAATTCATAAACTCACAATCTAACTGGCATACCTTTTCTATCATTCACTGCCATAAAAGATTCACTTTAATACAACTGTATATAACAACTGGTCCCCATGCTGCAACAGAATTAAAATAAACATACATGTATGTGTATATACATTGGTTACAATTTGTATTATGTATATCCAGTATTAAAACCTAAATTATAAATATTCCCAGTCTGTACAGATATGTCACTTGATATTACACAAAACTGAAAATTTACACTTGGAATAGATCAATGGTATAACCTATTACATTTTCAAGAACTTAAAAATCAATACTATGAATAAATACAGATACACCATATTAAAACAATTTTTTTTCAGATGTCAAAGGTTTTCTAATTTTGCTACTATTACTTCACTCAAAATGTTTGAGTGCAAAGTGTGAAATTTCCCTCTAAATTGTTTAACAGTGTGAAGCAGATATTAAAAAATAACTTTTAGTGGTTTTAGCAAACACAAAATGAACTGTTTTAGAGACAAAGTTTACAATCTTCATGCTCTTATTTACTTTTTTTAATGAAAATTTTCAAACACAAACTGGACTTTCAGGGAAAACTTTTACAGTGTATATAGGAATTGAAAGCAGGAAGTCTCTACTGTATTTTGATGCTTTCTACTAGACATAAAGTGTGAGGCATATATTTACAACAAGCAATTTTACAGGCAATCAGAAACTTTATATTACAATTAACTTAACATTTTACTCCAAAGCAATGAATAAAGCATCACATGTACTTACTCAACAAAAGCTAAAAATGACAAATATCTAGAAAATAAATGACACCCAAATTAAATGAAAATGATAAATGTAATTATATATATAGCAGAAGTGCAAGTCATCACCCAGATAACATACACCTTGCTCGTTACTAAATTTATACAGCAAACCCTTGTTACACGTACAAATCAGAAATACCAAACACTCCAATAAACAACTCCTAGTCAATTAACTTAATTAATAAATACAAAACTATCTTTCCTTATTTTCCCTTGTCTGAAAAAGCATTCTACACAAGCAACAATCACAGTTGATCTTTCAGACACAGTCGAGCAATTTAAGTTCACAACTCTTGAGTTCCCAACTCTGCCTGTCTGGTGATACAAGAGCATCAAGATGAGGATGGCAATACAATTTTCTTGTTAACCGGTTCCATCAGAGATAATCACTGCATCTTGTTGACTTCATATCTGGTTGTCATCATTTCCTCATCTGAATCCAGGAGGCTAGGAAGAGCTCTGTTAATGTAAAAATAATTCTGGTTGCAACAAAACATCTGATTGGATAGAAAATAAATATTTATATCCTATCACTTGTGTTGCCTGCTTCACAATATAATTTGGACCCAAACTGTATCAAAACATGTATTACATCTTAATTTTGTACAACTTAAATTCATTTTTTAAAGACAATTGTTTTATATCCTTAATAACTTGTGTTGATAGAAAATTTAATCATACAAAATAAATGTTATAGTTATCAAAGATATACTTGTCATGTATTACCTGGGTATATATAGCTTATGCTACATGTATTTTATGAATAAAGAAAACTGAACTTTTTATGATTTATAAGGCATAAAATGGTCCTGAACCAAGTTATAAAGTAAATACATGTACATGTATATGGTAGCTGGTTAATACATGTACACTCTTACATGATAGAAAATGCAACTGCAATTCAATTTATTAGCAAATTTGACTGCAGTGTTCGGCTTTTCTCAAAGCATCACAATTATGAGCAATAAATCAGATTAGCCTGTCCTCAGTAGGAGATATTGAACACTCCTAAGAAATCTCCCTAAGCTTACTTGTCAGTGAGTGATGTTGGAATGTTCTCTTCAACCCACTTCAGGTCTTCATCCTGAAAAATCAGTACATCTGTATAAACAGTTTATGTTACAACTTACAGGATATTCTGTCTATGATGCTTTCAAGTCAGAAAGTCACTTAAAAAGATACAATTATGTTTAGTCAATGCATGTTAATTCAAACACTGGTGAACAACTCAATTTCAAATAGGAAAGAGAAATTGAGATTCCTTTCATTATTTACAATACCTACCACACTTTTTCGACTTTTAGGTGATCCATTTGCTGCTCCCTTCACTCCACGCATTTTCATTCCATCTATCATCAAAGAATTACATAAATTCAAGATGTTAAGGATTTTTTTCTTTTAATTTCTAGTCATTCATCCTCTCAAAGATGTTTTTCCCTAAAATTTCTTATTGGTAAATCAACCAGATATTTTTCTACCTATTTCTTTTAATGATAATGTACATGTAGCTCATATTCCCCATAACCAAAATCCAAGCATCTTTAATCATTATGAAGCATCAGTAATAAAATTTCAATCTAATTGCAAACTAGATATCATTGAGATGGTGGCCATCTCAAAGGGCCCCGCTTTCAACAATGAACATGAAAATGTAAGGTAGTTTAAAAGGGTTTATTTTGAAGAGGAACATTTGTGTACTACAGTAAAAGTAATTTAGTACGACTTCACGGATATTGCAAATTTACAGATATACATGTATATCGAAGTTATCTTGTATCCCCAGTTATATAAATTTACTGGAATTAAGGGGTATATAAAATTATGCACCAAACAAAGATTTAAAACAGAGAGGCTAATTCTGATTTATGACCTAAAACTTCGACCAAGGTCACTGCACATCCATTGACCAGTGGCACATTGTGAGTGAAGTATGAGTCAGATTGGTCCAAGGAGAGAGAAGATATGCTCCGGACAAGGATTTTTCATATAATTCTGCTATGACCTTGACCTTTGACCTAGAAATATCCGAAGGCATCTGTGGGTGAAGTATGAGCCAGATTTGGCCAAGGAGAGAGAAGATATACTCCGGACAAGGATTTTACATATAATTCTATGACCTTGACCTTTGACCTAGAAACATGGTTCAAAGTCACTGCACACCGGTTACCCAAAGGCACTCTGTGGGTGAAGTATGAGCCAGATTGGGCCAAGGAGAGAGAAGATATGATCCGGACAAGGATTTTTCATATCATTCTGCTATGACCTTGACCTTAGATCTAGAAACATGGTTCAAGGTCACTACACACTGGTTACCCAAAGGCACTCCGTGGGTGAAGTATGAGCCAGATTGGGCCAAGGAGAGAGAAGATATGCTCCGGACAAGGATTTTTCATATAATTCTACTATGACCTTGACTTTTGACCTAGAAACATGGTTCAAGGTCACTGCACACCGGTTATCCAAAGGCACTCTGTGGGTGAAGTATGAGCAAGGTTGGGCCAAGGAGAGAGAAGATATGCTCCGGACAAGGATTTTTCATATAATTCTGCTATGACCTTGACTTTCGACCTAGAAACATGGTTCAAGGTCACTGCACACCGGTTACCCAAAGGCACTCTGTGGGTGAAGTATGAGCCAGATTGGGCCAAGGAGAGAGAAGATATGCTCCGGACAAGGATTTTTCATATAATTCTACTATGACCTTGACTTTTGACCTAGAAACATGGTTCAAGGTCACTGCACACCAGTTACCCAAAGGCACTCTGTGGGTGAAGTATGAGCCAGATTGGGCCAAGGAGAGAGAAGATATGCTCCGGACAAGAGAAGGACGGACGTATATCGGTATATATACTCGACGGAAGGACGGACGGACGGATAGACTGATCACTATAGGGCGCCCGCCAAGTGGGGCCCTAATTAAGTATCTTTCCAAGAATTTATGCCATTTAAGCATTTTCAACCACTTTTCAAGAACCAAATCAAAATTCAAGAATTTTTCAGGGTTTGTACAAACTCAGAATTTTTAACACCTAGAGAAAGTATTAAAAATTTAGTAAACACTTTGAGTTGGAGCTTTTTATATTGCTTCTGTTTGTGGGGGGATTTAATAGAAAGGAAAAAAATCTTTTAAAATTTGTACAGTCTGTCCTTACCAAATGCATCGTTCATTAAGCTCTCTTCCTCTTCTTCATCAGCAGCATCCAACAAGGGAGAGAATGCATATCTAACCAGATATAAATACAAGGAAATGTTAAGCAAATTTCAAGATTCTGGTCATATTGAATTAAAAAATAAAGATAATATCTACCCAGTTAAACAAATGATGCAAGTGCTTGGCATAAATTACAACATGGTCATTATGAATTGATGAATAATAGTAATTTTATGCAGTAAAGGCCATTAATCATCTTGAAACTTTCTGCAGATCATACAACTGTAGCCTATGACACATGTAAATACACACTGCAGAGGGATGATAAACCCTACCTCTGATTGTTTGCTGAGGGTCTCCACAGAACCATTATGACACACAGAATCACAGAGAATAACAGGTGCCAGAAAGCCTCATCTACCCAGATTTCTCTCCAGTCCTACAAAACACAGTCTCAAATAAACCACAAAGATAAGACACACGACATATTGCACATGTGATGAAGGCTTTTCCCTCCAATTTTCCACAAAATTGAATTTCTTCCTCTTGTTGTATAGTGAGGCACAGAAGTTTTTCTAAAGTTGCACTGTAATTTACTGGTACTTACTGTTATGCATGTCTTCAATTTATACTGTGTAAATGACCAGATCATAAAAGCAATTGAAGCTGGAAAAAAAGAGATTTTTTTTGTCAACGTCATCATATTAACTACCATAAAGATTATTCTGTAAAAAAAAAAATGTACTGGTGCATGTACATCTACCACAGTTACATGTTACATGCAAAATTACAGCCAAGACAATGTAAATTCAAGCAAGTTTAACAATGAAGCAATGTGTTGAAAAACAAACATGATACATTTATCCTTTATATAAAGTAGATGAACAATTGAACATTATCTCAAGTATTAAATGTCTCAACACTTACCTAGAACAGCAAATATTAGAGTATTGGTAAAATGTCTATACAGTGAGAGCTTGACAACATTTCGTCGCAAGCGCAGGGTTCTGGTAGTTTGTATAAGGCTGGAGAATATGTGAGCTCCAGTTAAGGCAAAATACATGTAAATGTTAATATCTGTTTACTTTTGTTTTGTACAAATGATTATTTATCATACTGCTCAAACTAACTGAGGACAAGATTTTTAATGTGAAAGTTGGTTTAAAAAGGATATCCACCAGCATATTGAGGCATCAGTAACAGCCAATGGGACAAGTGCTAACATTGTGTCTGTTGAATTATCTTCCTTAGGCTGAAAAAGAAAGAACTCTTGCTTAAAAAATACTAATGAACTATTCATATAAGAAAGGTACAAATATGGTTTTCATTTTTTCCCCTGAATTTTTTCAAACCATCTGTATCAAAACACATGAATAATCAACTCACCTTCAACTGCCTCATACAACCCTCTATTGAGGCTAAAATGAAGAACACCGTCCCCATGGCTACAACTTTGTGGAAAGTGGTACCAAGTCGAGGTCTACAAGTCAAAATTTTACTATCCACTCAATTGTTCATATACAAAGATTCACAGCTTGAAATTTAGAGGCTAGACAACTCCTGATATTGCATGTAAAGAATTAACTACATGTATTGCAAAACATTTTTGCACGAAGTGACATACTTGACAATTCCAAATCCCAGGCTAACAATAATGATGAGGATTCTGGCCAGGGCTCTTTTGAGGCAAGAAACCAGCTCAGCAAAGATCACAGCTCCTCTCACTAAAAGGTGTACATGTGAGAATTGATAAACATGTACTACTATCATTATACATGCTCAGGCACATTTAATCTGAACATTGGAACTTATGGGGTCAGAAATAAGCCTACGTGGGTTTTGTATAAAGCTAGGTTTACATATCATTAAGCATGTTTGATCCTGTACATATTTCTCTGACAAACCTGAGTGGCCTTGAGTGGTGATACTTTGATATTCAGCATAAAACACAGCCTTCTCCAGCATGCCTAGCAAAAAGACAATAAAATCAAATGTTTGCCTGAGCATTCAATACACAGTTGACATTCAGAGTCTGGTTCACCCAGAGTCTATGACACTGATATGTCAGATACCATATGTTTGAAATGGAAGTCCCAACCATAATGTTAGATTGACAAGTACTTTACTGCCCATACTAAGTTCAAGACAATGGGTTTGAACTGTAAACATATAATATTAGTAAATTACCCAATACAATAACTCCTCCAATCCAGAACTGAATTCTCAGGAGGTCCTTCCAACTACAGGCCAACAGAACCAACCACACCAGTCCAAAGATGATGTATACAATTCCCATCACTCCGTAAAACTGAAATGAAATCATGTACATTTTATGAACATTGTAAAGAATTACTTCAAGTGAATTTTCTCCTTTCAATAAAATATGATATCATTTTTTTAAAGCACTGGAACATACTTACTATTAGGAGGGGCATATCCACAGCAGAAATGAATCCATATTCCCCATACATTTCCACATCCACTGTTAAAGAGATTAGGAATAAAATTATTTATTGTTTACACACAATGTTCACAGCAGCAAAAATTCCTTTATATTGTAATATTTCTGTACCAAATAAGTATTAATTTGATGAACCATTCAAAACTTATGGGCAAGGTTACAGTTTTTCAACAGAACCTACATCAAACTCTAAGGTCAGCACCAACAGACAAAAGGGAAAAAAAATTGTGCTCATGTGGAGGTCTTGTCACAAAGCATATGCATGTTAAAAATATGTTTAAAATACAGGTAAACTTCGTTATCTCGACATCGACGGGACAGTCGGAAAATGTCGAGTTATCCGAGGTGTCGAGATATCAGAGTTGAGACTCTACGTCCTTAATTTAACTGTAAAACCATAAGTTAACCTAAACTGGACATACGTGTAACTACAGGTACCTACATGTCTTCAATTAGACAGTAGCTCGTTTATTTCAGCCATCCCTCTTTATTTATTAATAGAAAATCTAAAAGTTATTCACAAATATCATTTACAAACTGCTTTCTTTTTTATCGAAATCTCATTTTTTAAAAACCGTTTTCCAACCAGGATTCGATCCGAGTGCCACTAGCTCTGTCAGAACAAGATACAAAATCCGCTCTGTAAACTCGAAACCGGAACGGTACAATGTCGACTTCCGAGATACGGAAAAAATCAAAGCGTATATTTTTAAAAATTATTTCATTTCACTTTTTTTTAAATTTCATAATCATTCATCATTTATTTTCCTTTCATTTTGAAACCAAATTTAATTCGAATTGCGCAAATAACAAGCTTTATGCATTCATATAGGCTGATGCAATAGTCGTGCATGTCGAAGATTTGATTGATTCCTGCCGATTCCTGTTGAATGCATTTTTACAATTTCTAATTTAATTTAAATTCAATGTGTATATTGTTCATTATAATTCAGTAACTTGTTCTTTTATAACATGTTTAAGTTTTGTCAGATTTCGACATAAATGAATTGACGGTTTTACATTTACATGGGACCTATATACTAGTGTATAGGTCCCTGCATTTATGCAGAATAGAAGAGAGTTATCAATGAAATAACCCAAGCTGAACATTAAATAATTAACGTATTAAAGACGCCGAGGGGGCTTGGGATTCCACTACAAACGCACAGAGCAGTATGTAGTCAAAACATGGGTGTGAAAGGTGTGAATTTCTGACGACGTCGAGATACACGGAGTCGTCCGTGCGTGACGAGCGACCATCTGACAAACAATTAGGTTACAGTAGAGCGGAAAATTGCCCCGATGTCGACATATACCAGGTAAATTTTGCTTTGGACCGTGAAATACGTCGAGAAAAGCGGGGTAGTCGACATTACCGAGGTCGACATATAGTTTTTGCAAATCATTTAAATATAGTAAATAATGCCGGGAAGGGATGTCGACATATCCCAGGTTGTCGACATATCCGATGTCGAGATACCGAAGTTTACCTGTAAGATGATTTAGTCAAGGTTCATATTGTAAAATTTTGCAAAAGTGTGGAAAATATTCAAATCCAACACCAAGAGGTCAAATATGTTGATACCAAAAGGAAAGTCTTGTCACAAAAAATACACAGATGAAATATGAAAGCTGCAGCACCAAGAAATTAGAAGGTAGGGGCAAGGTATACAGTTAAAGATGTTAACTTATCTAAATATGACAGAATATGCCACTGCAGCAAGCAAGATAAGAAAGAGTTCTCTTAACATCTATTATCTTTTTCTGCTACAACTGTAATCAAAGCTGGGAGTCTACCCAATCACCCAAGTCCCCTTTTGGATGCATTTCTATCATGTCCTCTAACTTTGTACTATGAAAAATATTTTATTTACCTTCTGCTTGGAAATTTTCCGTTTTTGAATTTGTAATGCTCATAATAAAGATAAAGTAGCCATCTCTCCATGTTTTCTGGAATGCTGGTCTTTCCTGAAAAATAGGGCAAGAAAAGGGCAATGATTATCATGAAGTGTGTGAAAATTTTTCATAACCACAAGAATAATGAACAGAAATAATCTACATAATGAATGAAGATACATAGACCTTTTATATAGACAGGGCTTAACATGTATGCCTTCTACCCCCCCCCCCCCTTTCCAGGTGACCCGTTGATCTAACTACTCTTACCTTCTCCCCAGGAGGTGGTGGTGGGGCTGCTGTAGTGACAGTGGTAGCTTTTGTTGTTGTTGTTGTTGTAGATACTGTAGTCTTCTTTGGCTGCAAGAATGAGACCCAAATATTAGGCAGTAAAACAAAGGACATTCACCAGGGGTGGCTCAATGAATATAGCATGACTAATGATGCAGGGATTCTGAGTTCTTTTCCTAGTCCAGTCATACACCATGTACACCTTTCCCCTTACACACAATAATTGACCAAGTTTGATGACTCTAGGTCTGTATTTTTTTTTCCAGGTATGACCTGGCCAAGATTTTGCCATAATTGGCAGTACAGGTAAACTTCGTTATCTCGACATCGACGGGACAGTCGGAAAATGTCGAGATATCCGAGGTGTCGAGATATCAGAGTTGAGACTCGACGTCCTTAATTTTACTGCATAGCAAAACCATAGACCTAAACTGAACAGACGTATAACTACAGGTACCTACATGTCTTCAATTAGACTGTAGCTCATTTGTTTCAGCTATCCCTTAATATTTATTAGAAAATTTAGACTGAAGTTTTTCACAAATGTTATTTATGAAATGCTTTCTTTTTAATATCATTTTACTAAAAACCGTTTTCCATCCAGCATTTGATCCGCGTGCCACTAGCTCTGTCAGAACAGGATACGAAATGCGCTCTATAAACTCCAAACCGGAACGTTACAAAGTCGACTTCCCACATACGGAAAAAAAAATTAATGCGTATATTTTTAAAAATTATTTCATTTCACTTTTTTAAAATTTCATAATCATTTATCATTAATTTTCATTTCATTTTCAAACCAACATTTAATTGGAAGTGAGCATTTAACAAACTTCATGATGTTACACATGCATCCATATTACGATGCAATAGTCGTGCATGTCGTAGATTTGATTGATTCCTGTTGAATGCATTTTTACCACAATTTTTAAGTTAAATTAAATTCAATGTGTATATTGTTCATTGTTATTGAGTTACTTTTTTTTTTAAAATAAAATGTTTAAGTTTTGTTAGATTTCAAAATTTTTTATGTAAATAAACGGTTTTACATTTACGCAGAATCGAGAAGATTTATCAATTATAATACCCAAGCTAAACATTAAAAAATTAACTTATTAGAGACGCCGAGGGGGGCTTGGGATTCCTCTAGAAACACATTTCTACAGAGCAGTATGTAGTCAAAACATGGGTGTGAAAGGTGTGAATTTCTAACGACTTCGAGATACACGGAGTCGTCCGTGCGTGACGAGCGACCAGCTGACAAACAATTAGGTTAGGTAGAGCAGAAAATTGCCCCGATGTCGACATATACCAGGTAAATCTTGCTCTTGGAACTGTGAAATACGTCGAGATAAGCGGGGTAGTCGACATTACCGAGGTCGACATATCAGAGTTTATGCAAATCATTTATATAGTAAATAATGCCGGGACCACGGACAAACGTCGACATATCCCAGGTTGTCGACATATCCGATGTCGAGATACCGAAGTTTACCTGTACATTGTTTTATCTTAACCTACTTCTACCAAAGATGCATCAGCTGGCAAAGTTTGACTATTCCGTTCCTCATAGTATTTAACTTATGACCCAGAACAAGCTAACAGACAGACAGACAAGTGGACTGAACACCATACCATAATATGTCCCTTTTAAAACAGGCGTACAAAAATATTTCCTTCTCATTTTTGTTACTCACAGTTGTTGGTTTTTTTTCTGCTTCTCTTTTGGATTTTTTCTCACTCTTTGCAGTCTCTGTTTTTGTCGAATTCTGAGGCTAAAATTAAGTGAACACTTCACAGGTTTAGCAGCTAGCAATTAAAACAGATATCATAATACAAATGTTCTTTAAGCCTAATAGAAAAGGTTTTTATCTCATTCCAGACAAAGTTTAGTTTATAGCACTGACCATTTTTACCAATGTTGTTTTTTTTCCCACTGAAGATCTAATTTTTTGTTCTTGTTCAAAAAGGCAAAATTTAATAAAAATTTTAAATTTAACGAGGCCGAGTCTAATTATTTCTACCCTAGGGATTTTGATAATTTTTCATTAAATAAAATTTACTGTTATATTTATTGTTTTAAGATTAAAAATTCGAATGTTTACCACCCCGATTTCCTAGAGGAGCATCTCAAGAGTTGTCAAATTTTATTATTGGACCCTACGGGAATTTGCTGGAAAAGCGCAAATTTATCACATTTTTTTTCAATACTTTTTTGCATTTCTGCCCTAGAGATTTCTTTTTTAGTTAAGCTGATGAAAGTTATTGTAAAAAGTCACCAAATTGTGAAATTTCAAAAAAGTTGACCATCTAGGTTGGTCTAGAAATAAATTACAAAGTTTATTTTATCAATGTCCGATACCTCTAAAATTGCCAAATTGCGATAAAAATAAATATCGGTGCAGATGAATTTTCGGTACATATGAATTTATTTGATAAAAATATCAATATTTAGATTGCTAGCATATTTCTTTTGAAGTTCTGTCATCAGTTTTTAGTGTAATATCCATGGACGTCGTGAAAATGCAAGCGAGTCATGTGTCATTCTTCAGGGTCATACATTGCTTACAAAATCGGAAAACAGTGACGTTGTTAGAGCTATTTCAGCATTTTTTCCTAATAATTGTCGTAAAATCACATTTTCAGACCAGAAGGCATTACAGATAATGTTAATTTTGTATTAAAAGTCACAATATTTGGCACAGGTTTACTGCCGCACATACGACTGCATGAAATTCAAAAGCTGCGCAAAGTCATGCGCACGCGAATTAGACTCGGCCTCGTTAAATCAAAGTTACAAAAATGCTTTAATCACTCTTTTTTTCATCAATGAAACCATTGTTGGGTGAAGAACAGAAAAAAAATTTTAAAAAAGAAAAAAGAGATTCACTTGAGAATAACTTTATTTCATATTAAAATGACGTAATTACTGTTCATATGTTGATACAAACCTGTACAAATGCATCCACTGTCTTTTGTTCACTGGGTTGAAACTACAAAGAAATTTCACAATAAAATATTTTTTGTAGAAACGTAAAATGCTTTTAAACTGAGTTGGAATTTAACAATCGATAAAAGGAAGTGATGTTTCAATGAATTTTTAATACCAAGTAGAAAAGTTGTGAACATGGTAAAAACAAGCATATACTTCTATATAAAAAAAAAATATATTAACCCTTATGTAGCCATGTGTTATAAAGTAAAAGTTGTCAATAATGCCATGCTACAGTGTTCTTTGTATTCCCTTCAATATATGATTTCTTTCATATTGAATTGCCATAATACTACTACACAGCTTGTGCACTTATTGAACAATTATCTATTGATCACCTGAACACACAGAACCTGTGCATGACAGGATGTGTATACTATCCATGGAGCACCCAGTTTATCTACTGAACTTCATCTTCAGAGGAGAAAACTATCCTTATTTAGTGACAGCACATGATCTTATCACTCTGAGATATCTGGGGTATTCAATGCTAACAGCTCTGACATAAAGGAGTTTAATTTAATCATTTATACATCAATTTTCATCTTCCTCTCAGATTAACTTTGACTTTTTATCTAGGGTATTTGAGATTTCTGTATCTAAGACTTCAAAGTTTAACTGTAATAAGACTCTAAAAGCTATAGCATTATAATTTATTCTTTTGTAAATTTATTCATTTTATGTGAAATACTGTATACAGGGTTATTTTCATCCCCTGTTATTTTTGCCCTTTTCCACTTGCAAACAATTTTTCCCCGTTTTAAATTCGCCCTGTCAAAGTTCTGTTTCAGAAATTCTACAGCGTTCTTTGAATTCCCCCAATTTTAAATTCGCCCAGTTGTGTCAAGGTTGAAAGGGGCGAAAATAAAGCTGGGGCAAAAATTTCACTGTTTAAGTTTACAAATGTACCTACCGGCAACCAAAAGAAAGCACTGTCACAGTCATGTGAGGTGGCGTTTTTCATGTACTCTACTTTTGTATATGGGTTGCTTTGGATCTGCTGGGCTTCAGGCATGTTTAAATACATCCATTGTCTATTCTGAAAAACATTATAAAAGGTGCCCATTTAGCCCTGGTAGTCTTATGTAAAACATGAGTTTCTCAATATTTTACCAACTTATCCACACTTGATACTTAGACTGGAGTTCATTACTACAGGGATTATGACTTAAACCAGAGATTTCATTGGAGACTTAATCAGTCACCATGCACCATAGTGCCTTAAATTTTCAACTGATGCCTAAAAACTCTTTAGAGTTTCTCTTAGAAAGATGCAATTCTGTAACATCCCATATTTTCTAGGGGTAAAATTTTTGAGGAAAATATATTAGTTCATGAGAATTTGATTTCCTGGTTGAAGAATTGTTCAGTAGTAATATATATGTAAAACTGAGTTTCATGTTGGAAATAAATTTGTGGGTTTCTTGATACCTCCAAAACCAAGAAAATTAACTCCTCATGAAAATGAGTGATTTCACAGTAAGTAATAACTAAAAAAAAAAATTAAAATTCCAGTTTGAATATTGATAGTGTTCATAGGATACAATACACAAAGGTCACGAGAAGGTCACAAAAACTGTCAATTTCCAAATTTTCATGTTGAACAATGTTTTGTTTCAGAATTTAAAACACAAGGCCAAAGCTTGCCTATTTATCAATATTTATTTATATTTTATATCAAATATCAGTTAAGTATACAAAAAATCTATTGTGGGAAAATATCAGACACATTTGTCCTTAATGTTTCTCAAAAATTATGAAATTCTAAAATAATTGAGAAAATTCGTTAAAATATCCTTATTTGTTGCCCTCTTGTAGCCTCTGTGCATGCTTTGAAATAAAGTCAATGCGTTTTAAAGAAAAAAAAAATATTTGAACTTCTATCCAACCATCACAATTCAAATTGTATTAAGTTTATTTTTTAATAATTTAATTTAATTCTGGTTGTAACGCTGAATTTGATTGGATAAAAAATTTATTTTATATCGTATAAAATGGGTTGCCTACGTCACAATGACTTAAGTCAAATATGTATCAATCCGCCTGACGTTACATTCAAATTTTGTACAAACTGAAGTCATTTTGTTATAACAATCATCTTTTTTTCTTACATAAAATGAATGAAAATTAAATTATATGCCTAAGCAATGAATTTATTAGCTACCCATTTTTTACGGTATAAACTGGGTTGGAACAGTTAATGCTTTTTTAATAAACTGCAGCTTCGCAATTTATAAAGCGTAAACTGCCCCAACCCAGGTTATACAGTATAAAATGGGTAGCTATTAAATTCATTCCTTAATTAAACAAGAGGCCCAGGGGCCACATCACTCACCTGAGCACATTGGCTAGGAAAAAAAATATTATCAGATCAGAACTGAAAGTTTAATGAGGTGAGGGGGGGGGGGGGGGGGCTTCAATTTAATACTATTTGAGAATGCCTTCATATCAATACAGCATATGACTTTGCTGTTATTGATAAAAAGATTTCTTTTTTAAACATTTTGTTCCTATACATGTATATTATTTCGTAATAATTTGAATTTGATTCCCCATTGTTTCCCTCCCTATCATAAAGGGCCATGATTTGAACAAATTCAAATCTTCAATACATGAGGATGCTTACATGCCAATATGACTAAACATAGCTTTTCAGTTCTTGGGATTTTTTCCTTTATTTGATCCACCATAGTGGCCCTACCCTTCCCTTTGGGGTTATGATTTGAAAAATTTAATTCTACACTACCTGGGAATGCTTCATTATAAATACTAGTACCACTAATCATGGCTTTGCTATTCTTGATAAGAAGACTTTTAAATATATTTTAATGTAAAACTTGGATCCCCCATTTTAGCCCCACCCTACCCCCAGGGGTCATAATTTGAACAAACTAGAATCTACACTACCTGAGGATGATTCCATATAAATATCTCTAATCATGGCTTTAAAGTACTTGAAAAGAAGATTTTAAAAGTTTTCCGTATATATTCCTATGTTAAACTTTGATCGGCCATTTTGGCCCCACCCTACCCCTGGGGGACACGATTTAAATAAACTTGAATCTACACTACCTGAGGATAATTTCACATGACTTTCATCTTTCCTGTTTTAATGGTTCTTGAAAAGAAGATTTTAAAAGATTTTTCCTATATATTCCTATGTAAAACTTTGATCAGCCATTTTGGCCCCACCCTACCCCCTGGGGTCATGGTTTGAACAAACTTGAATCTACACTACCTGAGGCTAATTTCATATGAGTTTCATCTTTCCTGGCCCAGTGGTTCTTGAGAAGAAGATTTTAAAAAGATTTTTCCTATATATTCCTATGTAAAACTTTGATCAGCCATTTTGGCCCCACCCTATTCCCGGGGGTCATGATTTGAAGAAACTTGAATCTACACTACCTGAGAATAATTTCACATAAGTTTCATCTTTCCTGTCTCTATGGTACTTGAGAAAAAGATTTAAATGATTTTTCCTATATATTCCTATGTAAAACTTTGATCGGCCATTTTGGCTCCACCCTACCCCAGGGGGTCATGATTTGAACAAACTTGAATCTACACTACCTGAGGCTAATTTCAAATGAGTTTCATCTTTCCTAGCCCAGTGGTTCTTGAGAAGATGATTTTTTAAAGATTTTTCCTATATATTCCTATGTAAAACTTTGATCGGCCATTTTGGCCCCATCCTACCCCCGGGGGTCATGATTTGAACAAACTTGAATCTACACTACCCAAGGATGGTTCCACATGAGTTTCATCTTTCCTGGCCCAGTGGTTCTTGAGAAGAAGATTTGTAAAGATTTTTCCTATATATTCCTATGTTAAACAAACTTGAATCTACACTACCTGAGGCTAATTTCAAATGAGTTTCATCTTTCCTAGCCCAGTGGTTCTTGAGAAGATGATTTTTTAAAGATTTTTCCTATATATTCCTATGTAAAACTTTGATCGGCCATTTTGGCCCCATTCTACCCCCGGGGGTCATGATTTGAACAAACTTGAATCTACACTGCCCAAGGATGGTTCCACATGAGTTTCATCTTTCCTGGCAAAGTGGTTCTTGAGAAGAAGATTTGTAAAGATTTTTCCTATATATTCCTATGTTAAACTTTGATCGGCCATTTTGGCCCCACCCTACCCCCGGGGTTATGATTTGAACAAACTTGAATCTACACTACCTGAGGATGATTCCACATGAGTTTCATCTTTCCTGGCCCAGTGGTTCTTTAGAAGAAGATTTTTTAAAAATGCCATTAATTTTTCTCAAATTTATGATTATCTCCCCTTGGAAAAGGGCGTGGCCCTTCATTTGAACAAACTTCAATCCCCTTTACCCAAGGATACTTTGCGGCAAGTTTGGTTGAAATTGGCCCAGTGGTTCTTGAGAAGAAGATGAAAATGTAAAAAGTTTACGACGACAACGCCAATGACAACAACAACTACAACGACAACGACAGACAACGGACAAATTTTGATCAGAAAAGCTCACTTGAGCCTTCGGCTCAGGTGAGCTAATAATGGACATAACAAGGCTGTAAACATACCTTATCCTTTGAAAACTGTACACCAAAATGAATACAAAAGTGTATGTGACAACACCCAGTCATAAAATACAATGAAACAAAATATAATTTGAATATTACCACATCATCCTCCACGCCAGTAAACTCCTCAGCACAAGGGGAGTAACGTATCACCCATTCTACTGTCAACACTGTCTTTTCTTTATTCTTTACAACTTGTGGACAGTCAACTTTTGAGGAAAATGAAAAAATAAAGATTATCACCTAAAACAAAATATCAAACATCAGTATACAAGACTACCTATTGGATTTTTCTGGCCCAGTGGTCCTATTTTTTGTGCTGTACATTTTCTTGACTGCCTTTGGGAGAGATCATGACAACTACTGTAGCTTATTTTTTGTGAGTACTTATTTTCAAGAATTAGATCTTCAACGTCAATACCCATAAATAATAATTCGCGAATGGATGCTTAATCAAAGGATTTTTTCCCTCAAAAGAATACTGATTGAGTTTGAGATAACAAGGTTTGACTGTTTATCATATGTAAGGAAGCTAATACATGCCCATAAATTTGATTATCTACTTTTTCATCTTTCTTACCTTTTACAGCTATGTTGGTTCCCTTGTACATGCTTTTATGAAAAGCATAAATAGTATGTTCCTACAAAAATAAAAAAGAGGAAGACTATGAAATATGTTTCATTTCAGTTGTCAATAAATGAAAAAGCAGTTTTCGGTGAACGAAAAAGCAAATTACCTCTCATTTATCAAAATTGAACAAAGATTGGTAGAAAGCCGATTAACATTGTTAATTTTATTTTTCATTTTTAGACTTTATTTCATGAAGTAGGTGAATGTTATAAAGGACAAGGAACAAGATTCATGGAAACAGCAAAACACACGTAGTAACACCTCCCCCCTTTCTCAACCGAAAACTGTCATAAGTTAAATGTGCGCCTTCTCCAGTGAATAAGTAGAGAAAAGTTAGCAAATATATAAATATTCTCACTTTATCATACTGAACTTTCCAAACCCCTGGCTCCGATATGGAAAATACGCCAGAGACGCAGAGAGCGACAGTCAACAAGTTCAGCATCACTTCCGGCTCTTTTATGATCTAGGGAAGTCTTACTGAAAATATTCGAAAAATTGCTGATCATTTTTATCTTACATATATAAACTCAAATTTATTTGAAATATGTGTAATAATATGACATGTAAAATAAAATTTAGAACGCACAATATTCAATTCCTTAATAACACGAAAATATTAGTCAAGATATTTTAAAATTCTCCATCGGCAGAAAACTTTTAGCTTACCTGGCACAGTGTTTTCATTCTGTCTGTGTTGAGCAATATGAGGAAAACTCTTCTAAATACTAGAAATTATAATTTACTTCCGTAATTTTATCAGTTCCGTTTAAAAGGAAGGCCAAAGATATAAATCATTTTATTTTCCTCGATTTCTCTTCAAGATAAACGGAGTAAACTTCCCGTTTAAATTGGACGAAAACTTATGTATGAGTATCATTGCAAGTAAATATATGAAAAATGTAAAGATAACAAACAGTGGTTGATAAAAAAAAATCCATTAACAATAGAAATATGTGAATTTTATATAAGAGGAAAAAATGCGGATCGACCCCTGAAACTCCAGAACTGAGAAGTAGGATCAGGTGCCTAGGAGGAGTAAGCATCCCCTGTTGACTGATCACACCCATCGTGAGCCCTATTCTCAGGTAGACGGTTTTTAGTGCAGTTAATTCAGTGTAAAACATTGGTATGAAACAAATCAGCCAAAATACGACGCAACATATGTAGTATATGGATTATATTTGTTAAAATATTTTGGACGACCGTAAAATTTATCAAATGCGGGCTTCAAACGAAAAATTGGAAAAATCCCTCTAAAACATATAAGTGTGTAGTATGCCTTGCTTACAAAGTCTATCATAATCGTACTCTGAGCATATAAGGAATTTTCACCTATTCTTCAGCACTCTCTACCATCGGCTCATATATTCACACTTGAAAATTCCCTTATTGAATGTGTTAACAAATATCAATACTTAGGTATTATTTTAACCTCATGTGGATCCTTCAAAGAAGCAAGATCTCATCTATATTATAAAGCACTTAAAGCTTCTTTCAAATTATACTTTAAATTTTCAATCCCATCAAAAACTCCTCATCTTTTTATAAATAAAGGTTGCATTATATGGCTGTGAAATTTGGGGAACCCTTACTTTCAAGATAAAAACAAACATTTATACGATATTTTTAAAGAGTGGGAGGCAGAAAGCTTAAATATCAAATTTTGTAAATATCTATTGGAAGCTGGGAAGAAAAGTACTAATATTGCAATAATTTCTGAACTGGGAAGATTGTCCTATGTATTTTTCAATTATTCAAAACATCTTATTATAACATGTTGCAATCAATGAGGCCTGTTACATAAAGCATATACAGAAAATATTAACCTTAGTCAACAATATTAACTGCTTACAAAAATGTAATTTATTATAGTAAGAAAATTAATCTCTCATTACCAGAATGTAAAACATAAAATACACATTTTTAAAAAAACAAGTTAAGAAACATTTTTGCTACAATATTGGAAAATGAAACTGAAGATATGAATCTGGAGAAACTTACTACTTATTTTAGGTTTAAAGAAAATTTTACAATGGAAAACTATATGTACAACAAATCTCATGAAATAAGAAAATCCATATGCAGATTTAGAATAAGTGCTCATGACCTATATTTTTGAAAAAGGCAGATATGAATCTGTAAAAAATAATGCTGGTCAAAGAATCCCCTTAGATAGAAACAAAAGAATATGTTTAATGTGTAACCAAAACAATATAGAAGATGAATACCATTTTCTTACTGAATGCCCATTATATACTGAGGAGAGAGATAAATTTTTCCGTGATATCTCATTTAAACAAAAATTTCAATTATTATCAAAAGGTGACAAATTTCTCTTTAATAATAGATAATCTAATTATTACAAAGTTAAGTGAATATCTTGTCAAAGCCTTCAAAAGCCTTCAAAATAAGGCATAATGCCACGAGTTTTCATAAATAATGTTATAGACACATATTTATTTATAAACTGGTATATGTATATTGATAATATTGATTTTGATGGCATGTTAATTAACAATTTGATAACCCCAACTGCTGCATCTACATGTCCAGTTACTTGTAATATTATATCAGATATTTACATGTGTGTGTGTGTGTGTTTATGTTTGTATATGTTTACTATAACCTTTCTTTTAGAACTTTCTATCTTGTTATTGTAAGAAACCTTTATGCCTTCTGGGCCCAAAATTGGAAATAAAATTATCTTATCTTATCTTATCTTATCTATATTCACTGTGTCTGAGAGAGGAACGAACTCTGCATAGGAGATTGATTCATCAGTGGCGATTCTGTGCGTCATATTTTCACTAACTCACATCTTTCTACTTTATATTTTGAATCAATTCTGTATATAAAAAAGGTTATTATTGCTGGTTCTTGAAGTACTTTCATGGATAAAATAATAAAGTACAAATTTAAGTTAGATTGTCCTGTAACAGCTAGCACCTGTTTGAAACATGTTAGCTAATGAGGCCTTAGGTCATGTACATTAACGAACGAGTTAATGTTACAACAAATGTTACACCGGGCCAAATAAATGACGTGTAAAAATGCTTTTTTAAATAATATTTTGCAAATAGTCTGGTATATGTTTAGAGAAAACATAATACAGCAAAATTTCTTTGTCCTGATCTTTTTTATCAATCCTTAATTTTATTTTTGCCAATGAAAATCGTATACGTTTCCGATAGTTTTGTACGGAGCTAAAATATGGCGTCCTCCTTCATGTAAACCAATCGGCAATCCTCGGCTGACTCCGCTACGCTCCATTCAAAAGTTATGTGCGAGGTACGAGTCATCCGAGGAACTCCGAGTGCATGTAAACGTCAAACCAGAACGATAAATTGATCGCCTTTTCGTTTAATATGTGTATGTGATGTTCTTTATATAGTCTGAACTTTTCCAAACATGAAGAATTCCCTATTTTATCACTTTTGCTACAGTGCTTTTTGGACACTGCATACAAATGCATTTAATCCGTTCATGGACCATGATCTTCATACAATCGACTGGGTCGGGCCGAGCGATCTGGACAAAATTTCGGTATGCATGATTAGGAGCTTTTACTACTTCTTTTTATTGAAGGAATCGCGACTAAACAGTGATTTTTCATTGAAGCAGATTCTTTTCATCTTGTAACTAATAAGAGAGAAAAAGCCTTTAGGAAACAGGTCCAGGAAAATCACTATATTTAGCTATATAGCTTAATTTACCTATATAGCTTTATTTACCTATATAATATAGCTTTATTTAGCTATTTTGGAATAAGTTTTGTTTTATGGAAAGCAGACAAAAAGTTGCATGTAAATTATGGCTGATATATTTTTTTAAAGGTTTGATAAAAACAACCTAGGGCATAGATAGTAAACACATTGCCTCTTTTAAACACTTTTTAACCAAAAAATACACCTCTATTGTTTGGATAGCTGGAAGTGCGGTGAGGCATGACTAAGTGTGATTGCCTTGCATTGTGCTCAATTATTACCAATCAATTATCTTGTTCTCAAAACTGCTTTTCTTTGTAAAGGTATAGCTGCTTATTACAGATTAATGTTTACATAGCCCCAAAACTTTTCTCTTTGATTGCATATTGCACAAAAAAGAAACATTTTTGCGGGTTTTTCGCACATTGTTTTCAGTCCATTTCCAAGTTGAAAACTAATATTGCCTCATTATGCGACTTTTTGTCTGCTTTTCATAAAACAGAAACTTATTCCAGAATAGCTAAATATTAAAATAAAGCTATATTATATAGGTAAATAAAGCTATATAGGTCAATTAAGCTATATAGCTAAATATAGTGATTGATTGATTTTCCTAAGAGAGAAAAAGGAAATTCAACTTTGTCAGACATCTGTATCTTTGATATGCCTTAATAAACTTGAAACTATAAAAGACACAGTCTAAACTGTGATGTGGCACTTATGTTGCAAATCTCAGAATCCTTGAGCCAAAGAATTAATATGTTCTACGGAGTGATCGTTTTGGCGAGCAAAGTCCTTTACACATTCGATTCTATAGCTAAGCTTGTCATTAAATTACAAATTTTTTTTATAAAAATGATAAGGAACCCTATTCAATTTTTCAGCCAGGAGAAAATGTAATAGTGTTGAAAACAAAAGCCAACGAAAGGTATAGCTGTGTTTTACCTGAGAGTGCGGATGCAATAGAGGAGGTAATAATATGTTTAATTTTAAAGAGGAGGGACAAATTCTTGTAGATCCTGTATTGTTTTACTAGAATCATGTTTTTTTCTGAATTATATCATCATATTTATTAAATGATCAGCATTATTGATTCTATCAGTCTCTGATTAGTCCAGAGAATATTTAATATTAAGCTCAGACTGGAGATTTCTTCGGGATTCAGGGCTCGACATTAACTTTTTTTTTGTATATTCGGACAATATAGATATTTACTTGTCCAAACTTCAACTTCACTTGTCCGAAAATTTTTCAATGAATGTCTTGTTATGTCAACTTGAAAACAATTAAAAGATTAAATGTGCTTGATTTATAAGTGTTGTTATTGATAAATAAGAAAAACACATATAAAACAAAATTTTATCTAGACTTCCTGTCCTGACAACAGCATAAATGTTCGCAAGTGAATCTGTAATATCAATCAAATATATTCTTCACAAACGTCGTAAGATCCATGCCATGCAATGTTATGTTTGGCTGCAGTTTGAACATCGTGGGGAAACAAAAACTTACATAGTGATTGATATTGGGATGAAATTTTTGGATTATGTACTGCTTATTTTTATTCGATAAACTTTACAATAGTTGTTTTCTATGATTATTATTATTTGAAGACTTCTTTACATAGAAAAATCACTTGTCCAATCGGACAAGTGCCTAGCAATATTCACTTGTCCGAATTTTTTTTCATTAGTACCGAACAAGCGGACAAACGTTAATGTCGAGCCCTGGGATTTTCCCCTTGATCAACTTTAGATTTCTTTTATAGTATAGTACATAGTATATAGTTCAGTTGTCCATTCAATGGTGGTAAATAAAAATTCTGATTCAACACTTCAGCTTAGTCACCTTGAACCTATGAATTAAAACAAAAGCTTCAAAATATGTATAATATATTGGGAAGTTATGTGACTATTTTTTTTTGTACAGGAGCTGAGGAAACACTATGATGGACCGAGTCCAGATGCACTGATTAGCAGTTTGTTTCAACAGAATTCTTGTTCATATAGGGTAAACAACTGACTTTGAAGTAATTTTTCATCTTGTTAATGGGAATCTATTGTGGATTCAATGTAATGTTCAATGTTTGTTTAATGTTTTTAGTTTAATGTTACTTGTTCGCTTGGATGAAATTTTTGGGTTTATCATTTATGTGGTAGATTCAGTGAATAAAGAATGAGTTTTCAAGGTAAAAAATCATGGGAACATAAATTTGTGGGTATTGTAAGTTGTGTAATCAATGAAATCCACAAACGTAAGTCCCCCATAAACAATGTTATGATTCCACAGTGTTAACAATAAATAGCTTTCAGATAAATGCATGCTTAATTGAATATTCATGAAAACTTATCCTCACTGTTATATGATAAGGATTTTATTGTAGAATGTCACTGTAATGATAATGATTTATGAATAGGTATTTTATGATACCTATTTTTTTACCTTTAGATTGAAAGTTACTGGACCTATGAGTTATGTCATGGTAGATATCTACGGCAGTATCATGAAGATAAGGAACTGAGTGCTGTACGTTTATATAGATACATTTATAATTTCCTTGTGTAATTTTTATGAATGTGTAATTATACTTTGGGGTACATTTGATCTATTTATGGTAAATACCAATAAGTAGAAAGTAAATTTACTCCCTGTACTTAAAATCACAATGAATCAAAATCACAATGAATCTCCAGATGTGTACAGAACAGTATACAAATTCTTGAAACCAATCAATGATACTATTATTGCATATTGTTTGAGAAGATAAAAATCCATGAAATGATTGGTATTTGATAAATAAAATGATTGTTTTTTGATTTTCAGAAAAAGCCTAAAGTACAAGAATACTACCTTGGATATTTTGGGCAATATAGACCTTCAAAAGGCAAAGGTAAATATTTTTATCTTTGTTGAGTATTAACACCTGCTTCAGGTCTTAACCTTAGTTTTCTAAGATCACATGAAACCTTTTTAACTATAAAATTTTGTGTTGTATAAAATTATTTATTTTTTTAGATTTAACAAAAGAGTTAGAAGAGAAATTGAAACCACAGGAAGTAAGTATCTTATTCTGTAGTATTGGGTACTTTGTTTATAAAAAGAGAGAGAGAGAGAGATGTATAACTTTAATATATTGGTCTGAAACACCCTGGCAACATAAAGCTACAAAATCTGCAGAAAAATTGGATGGATATAAAAAAATTCAATGTCATGTTTTTGTTCCCCAGTTAAAGTATTCCTTTGCAACATTTTATTCATCTTTAAGTGAATTTTAATGTTTGACAGTAGGATGATCAATCGACTTCTTTGTCTTGCTATCGTTTTAGGCTATCTTAAAATTCACCCTCAAATGTTTAGATATGTAACCTTGGTGACCTGCTGCAGCTTCAATTGCATTTGTACATGTATTGGTAAATCTGAGACTGAGAAGTGATACAATATGTCACTTATGTTTACAAGACTTACAATTGCTTGCACTCACAAACAAACAAAGCGGCTTGAAACTTTTTGTTGCAAAGGGATGAAATTCCTGTAAATCAACTTTTATTCACGACGACTTTATTTCATGATTTATTAAGGGTAAACTACTTCGCGACTATTAATTTTTGGCGATTAAGCTTTTTTTTTATCTGTTGTTCATATATATAGACACAGAGACTTGAAGGACCAGTTCATGGCGAGAAATATTTGTGATTATGAGGCTCTCGCAAACTTTGCAAAAATTTCTCTCATGCGAATTAAAGTTGGTTTTCAGTAGTCAAACTGGTGAAAATACTTGTTTTGTTGTTTTTATTCATGGAACACCTTAATTTATGATCTATAATAATACTTTCAGATCAAAAGTAAAAGGATAGATGACATAGAACTACCTTACTATGAAGTGAACATGACGGAGGGCACAGAATGTGATCTAAACCAGAAACCACGACAAGTACGAATTCTGTACATCTGTCAGCCTGATGGACGAGGAGAAATCTACGAGATGAAGGAAACGTCTACCTGTGAATATGAAGTCCTGGTGCTGACATCTGTTCTCTGTGCAAATCCAAAGTTTAAGTAAGTTTTTCTTTGAAAATTTTCTTATCTTTCTGCTATATATTTTACACATTTATGTATTTTATAAGTATGTCATCACATGGAGGGAAAAATGTGCATTTTTTAAAATAATCTGCATACATGAATATATTTACTATAGAGCTTTTATACATTGTAGACCAAAAAACCCACCTGTCAGTAAAATAGCCTGTCATGCGATGGATGGCTCACCTGTAAGACCCACTGGTCTGGACCAAGAGTTTCAGATACATCCCAATGCTAAAGCATACACTGTATGTAATCTAAATTTATCTTATAATGTATCAGCCATTTTTCATTGTAATTTGATTTATCTTTTATCAAATTCTTATTTGTGACCACTGTTTCAGATAAACAGTCAGTGCAATATCTGATTGCAAAGTCATGATTATTTATCAAGTTTGTCTGTCTAAGCAGTATATATGTATTTGATGACAGTTAAAGCTGTGACATACATGTACCTTATAAACTTTCCATCAATCAGGAATTTGGTGGCTCTCTCTTTTGAGTTTGAAAGAAAATTTGCTTTTAGAAGATTAGTTTGATAATGAAAAAGAAATATCTGCTTGAGATCAAAATGACTAATTCCTCATTTTTATCTGAGATTGAGAGTTTAATTGACAGGTTAAGACTTTGATGGACATGTTGAGAATTTGATTGACAAGTCAAGACTGATTGACAGGTTAGGACTTTGATTGACAGGTTAAGATAAAACTTTGATTGACAGGTGCAGATTCATCCTGAGGAGGAAGAGGAGGAGCAGGAGGAGGAAGAAGAGGAGACAACTCCAGCAAGTCAACCTCCCAAAAAAGAGCCAGCCCCTCCCAAACCAGTAGACAACACTTTAACATCTACCACAGACAACCAGGTTTTGCGGGACTTCCTGTCTGGAGATCACTGTCTCCAAGGAGTGAGTAACAAATGGAGACATCTTTCCAGAACGAAAAATTATTGTTTTAGTGCTAGATGGTTATCTGGATACAGTAAAACTCGGCTGTAGTAAAGTCCCTTGGACCTGTGAATTTACTTTGCTTTATCCATAATTGGTTAAGCTGTATGTACGGTAAAAATTGCCTAATCTGGACATCTCTGGTTCCAAAGAAACTCGTCATATAGGACAACATTTTGGATAAGAAAAAATTTAACAATTGAAATTTTTTAAAGGGGGCTTAAAGTTTACATCGTTTTAGGAAAGACTTGGGAATACAACATCTGAATTAGGCAAGTTTCACTGTATTCATCTTTTTTGTACAGTTGGCCATCAGTCTCTGTTCTGCTTTTCAGGGAACTGGTTGGTGGAAACATGAATTTTGTTTTGGAAAGTATGCAAGGCAGTTTCATGATGTAAGTACCTACTTCAATGAATTTCATTGTTTGGAATATATAAGGCCTAGCAATTCTGGAAAAAAAATGTCCACAATTTGAAGTTGAAATCAATTTTAAATATTCTAAAATTTGAGCATTTTTTAATTTCCATGTTTTATTTTATAGATGCTATTGGTGTTTTATTTACTTGTAATATGCTAGATCCTTGAAATTCAGATTTTAGGGTAAATCTTTAAAAGTAATTTATATTTGACAGGATCCAGAGGGGAGAACAGTTATATACCTTGGACAGTGGCATGAACTGAAACATTTAGAATGGGTTTCTAAAAATCCATCAAAAATGCCAAAAGATAAAGGCAAAAGAAAGTAAGAATAGTAAACAATAATTCAAAGCAAATTCTCAGAGTAAGATCAAAGTGGAATATTTGTGATTTGATTCAGTATAATCTGAGTTATTGGTAATTGTTATAGCTTTTGACAGACATTCATTGTATGAACACCAGTAGTAGAACATTTTATATATATTCTTAGAATAAAGAAGCAAAAATTCAATTTCAGTAGATGTGCATATAAAAAAATTTGCTTTGCTTGTGATGAGTGTGTTTCAGTAAAATTTTGGGATTTTTAGTTTATAGTGTTGTTTTTTAGGTCATTATCCTTGCTATACACTGGAGGTGATCAGTGCGATATTACAGGGAAAAGAAGATTAGCAGAAGTTAGATTAAAGTAGGTTTATTTCTGTTTTCCCAAGACTATCTGGAATATACAATTTTAAAATAAGCTATACAATAAGTAATTTCTGCTATACAATTTTAGCTAAGTTTGTGTTTGGGAATTTTGTGTGTGTGTGTGGGGGGTGGGGGGGTGGGGGGGGGGGGGAGTTAAAAAATTAATGTGAGCATAAACTTTTGGTATTGCTATATAGAACATAATTACATGTACAGTGTACTTAATTTCCCAACAAAGGAAATAATAATGCTATCTTTGACAGTTTACTCTATAAAATACTTGACCATTGTTAAATGTTGTAAATTTCTTATATTCTTATAATTTGGTATAATGACAATCACATATATTTTGATTTCCATTTCATACGAAAACACAGTATGTGCAGTTTCCTTAACATCTTATGAGCAGTAATTTTATGTGCCAATATTCAGTCTGAAATGTGGTTGCATCTTTTATTCTTACTTTTCAGATGTGTAGAAAATGCCCAAGCACCACACTCTGTCTCCATTTATTTAATAGAACCCAAGACGTGTGAATATATAATGGGAGTAAGTATAGAGTACATGTATATCTGTGTATATCAGCCTAAACTTTAGATATTTACAATATGAAAAAGAAAAATTGAATTTCAGAGCTAGTTACATATACATGTATTTATCCCCCGCTGAAAGTGGGGGATATTAATGTCAGTCTGTCTGTATTTCTCTCTGTTGGTAACACCTTTGTTTCCACCCAATATATATCAAGAAGCATGTAAGCTTTTGAAATGAAATTTTACAAAACAACTTCCTATGGCCAAAGGAAATTCCTTATTGATTTAGAGGACAAAATAAGTCAAGGTCATAAATTCAAAAGTTCTGTCTGTATTAACACTTTTGATTCTGTATGATATCTCAAGAAGTCTTTGAGTTACAATTGTATATGTCTTTTTTCACAGATTGAATCTCCATTATTTTGTTCCATATTGGACAGAGCAGATGAATATGGCATTATCAAAGACACAAAAGTGTAGCAATAACTACAAGCAGAAATGAAATCCCTAGTCTTTCATCTGATATCCATGTTTGTGTGAAATAGTGAGTTCCCCAAATGATAAAGAGTGAAAAAAATTTACACATGTCCATTGTTTTTAAAATCACAAAAAAAATTGTAGTATGTACCGGTACATGTGATTAATATTGGAGAATGGTGCTTTTTAAAATGCATGTACATATACATGTAGTGGTTATCAATATTACCATTCCTTTTTAGGTCACCTGAGTAAACTCAGGTGACCTATTGCTATCCGTTTTCGTCCGTCGTCGTCCGTCGTTCGTCGTCCGTCGTCCGTCGTTCGTCGTCCGTCGTGTGTTAACATTTGAACATTTTCAGCTTCTTCTCTGCAACCACTGAACCAATTTCAACCAAATTTGGCACAAAGCATCTATGGGTGAAGGGGAACAAAAATTGTGAATTTCATGATCCCTGCCCCCCTGGGGCCTGAGGGGTGGGGCCAAAACCACTAAAATTAATGCAATCTTTAAAAATCTTCTTCTGTACTCCTGGACATCAAGCAGTCAAACTGTTTGCATGATTGTAATCAGCATTGAGTCCTTTACCAAAATTGTGAAATTCATGGCCCTGGGGTCAGGGGTTCTAGTGCTAGGGCGGGGCTAAATAAGTATATAGTGAAAATGCATTATTTCTTTGGAAATCTTCTTCTCTACTCCTGGGTATTAAATAAACCAACTAAGTACATAGTTATGATGAGCAAGAGTGCCTCTACCAAAATTGTGAATTTTATGGCCCCAGGGTCAGGGGTTCTGGTGTTAGGGCGGGGCTCTATTAATTATATATAGTGAAAATACATGATTTCTTTGAAAATCTTCTTCTCTGCCCCTGGGTATTAAATAAACTAACTAAGTGCATAGTTATGATGAGCATGAGTGCCTCTACCAAAATTGTGAATTTTATGGCCCCAGGGTCAGGGGTTCTGGTATTAGGGCGGGGCTCTATTGATTATATATAGTGAAAATACATGACTTCTTTGAAAATCTTCTTCTCTACCCCTGGGTATTAAATATACTAACTAAGTGCATAGTTATGATGAGCAAGAGTTCCTCTACCAAAATTGTGAATTTTATGGCCCCAGGGTCAGGGGTTCTGGTGTTAGGGCAGGGCTCTATTGATTATATATAGTGAAAATACATGTAAATGATTTCTTTGAAAATCTTCTTCTCTGCCCCTGGTAATTAAATATACTAACTAAGTGCATAGTTATGATGAGCATGAGTGCCTCTACAAAAATTGTGAATTTTATGGCCCCAGGGTCAAGGATTCTGGTGTTGGGGGGGGGCTCTATTGTTTATATAGCGAAAATACATGAATTCTTTGAAAATCTTCTACTCTGCTCCTAGGTATTAAATAAACCAACTAAGTGCATAGTTATGATGAGCAAGAGTGCCTCAACCAAAATTGTGAATTTTATGGCCCCAGGGTCAAGGGTTCTGGTGTTAGGGCGGGGCTCTATAGATTATATATAGTAAAAATACATGAATTCTTTGAAAATCTTCTTCTCTGCTCCTAGGTATTAGATAAACTAACTAAGTGCATAGTTATGATGAACAAGAGTGCTTTTACCAAAATTGTGAATTTTATGGTCCCAGGGTCAGGGTTTCTGGTGTTAGGATGGGGCTCTATTGATTATATATTGAAAATACATGAATTCTTTGAAAATCTTCTTCTCTGCTCCTAGAAATTAAATAAACTAAGTACATAGTTATGATGAGCAAGAATGCCTCTTTTAAAATTATGAATTTTATGGCCCCAGGGTCAGGGGTTCTGGTGTTAGGGGGGCGGGGCTCAATTGATTATATTATGAAAATACATTAAATCTTTGAAATTTTTTTTTTGTCTCTGGGTATAAAGCAGATGAACTACCTTTATAGTTATGATGAGCAAGGACCCTAATCTTGCAGAATTGTGAATTTCAAAGCCCCAGGGTCAGGGGTGGGGTGGGGGCTCTACTTATATACTGAAAATGAATTTATTGTTTGAAATCTGCTCTTTTGTATTTATAAAACATTTATTTATTTTTTGATATTAAGGGTGCCTTTGTGAAATTTGTGCAATGTGTGGACCTAGGGTCAAGGGTTTATGTCACAGTGTTAGGGGCACTACTGGTTAGTTGGAATGCATTTTTGTTCCCCTACCCTGCATATGGGTATTCAGTAACCAAGCTAAGCAACTGCTAAGTGTATTGTTATGATGATCAATGGTGCCTCTTTCAAAATTGTGAATGTCATATAGCATCTGGCTTAAAACATGAATCAAAGTCAATAACTGGAAAATTGTTGCATAATGCTCAGGTGACCTATAAGGCCCGTGGGCCTCTTGTTTCCAGTTTGTAATTAATTTTTTTTAACCCAAATTGCACAGAATTTTAAGTATTTACTGAAAATTCAAGTGGCACTTTTTAGTTGACAGCTTTATTCAGTTCATCAATGATTGTGAAAACATGTACTACAATATTGTAAACTTGTAAATTTTTATCAAACAAAGCATTAATTAAAGCATTAGTGTAGAGTGTAGTTTTGCAGAAGTCGAAGAATTTCCATTTATTTTATTGTAGTATGTTGTTTATTTTGAAACTTTTGAGTGATTATCAATTTTGGGATACTTTATTCATCAAAAAGTTAGCGAAATTATTGCCTATGCAAACATTTCCACATTTCCAATGCTGTACCAGGTATGTTCCATTCAAAGTGTTCACAGTCTTCTAACATATGTTCAAGTTCAAATTTCTTTTTCAGTACATGTATCATTTTCTGTTCATATGTAGAATGTAGATGTTAATAATGTGCAAAAAGTATCAGGTAATATGCATAATAAAGCAAATTTCATGTATTTTGTACAGCTTTAAATTCAAGGATGTGTCATTTTTGTTCAACATTTGAATAATACAAATATTGTATGAAGACAAAAGCATTTCTTTAATTTTGTAAAATAATGTTTTCACACAAATATTGCTCAATGTTCATGAATTCAGTTTTATTGAATGATTATGTGCAAATGTGGTAAAAATATTTTTCGCCTTGATAGTTTAAAGCTGCGAATAGCAAGTCATTTTTAACAGAGACTAAAAATGACAGTGATACATAATTTTTTTTCTTCAAATTTAATATTGTATTTAATTCTGTTCATCTTTAATATATGTATTAAGTATTGAATGTTGGTTAGATGCTCATTTCATTGCAACTGTTTGCTGTCTTCAAATGATATTCCAGTTACTTTGCATGGTGTATCCTAGTCTTGTAATCAGTGGTCTTCTGGGTGCATTTAAGTTGGAAATTCAAAGGATTAAAATGTTACAATCACTAATCAAACAATCTGAGTTTTTTTTCCGTGTTGGAAATAGTACCAGTAATTAGAGTGTAATAGTGGAAAAAGGCCTGGACCAGATGTGAATGAATGAAATATTTAAAAAAAACATGTTTATTTTCTTTGCATCTAGATCTAGTGTGTTGCCTTTGGAAAAATATTATGGATTTTTTGTGTTTGAAACAAAACGGGCAAAACTGCAATAGTTATAGATGACAAAATAAGGAAACAGTTTCATTCTTAATTTTATTTATTTCACGAGACTTGTCCAACTTTAAAAATCTTCAACAATATAAACAGTAATAACCATAAATACTAGGCAATTCTTACCACTTGTCCCTAATCTCTGATTACATGTATATATATTGTATATGAAAATGTCATTCACTGGAAAAAAATAATTTTAACTTCATTGCTTTCTTTTGATTCTTCTGTCATGCAATACACATTAAACATTTACAAATCACATTTCATAGGAACTGAATGAGAGATTGCTCTCTAGGTATATTAACATAGCAATGTAAATCAACTTATGCTGAAGGTCCACCTATCACATCTTTGTTGGCTATGATTGTCATTTCATTAACTGTCTGATCTTCAAGGGTCAGCTACATGGACTAGTTGTTTACCAATGTTTCCTCCATTCATCATAGACACAAAGGCCTTCCCTGTGTTTTCTAAGCCCTCCATGATTGTCTCCCTTACCTGGAGAAAACATTTCTACACTTTTAAATGGCTACTAGTGTTTTTTTTCATACTTTTCCCATTATTTGTAAAAATAGAATGGACACAAAACCTGTGGCTTGTGATAATGATACAGAGTCATATGTGGCAGTGACAAAATATCACTTTTAGAACATTTCACATTGAATAATGGATTAAAAATAAAAATGATCCTGATTTATACCTTTAGTTTGCCAGATAAAACCAGTTCAGCAAGTTTCTTCAAGGATTCCTCAAATTTCTCAACATAATTTAACACCAAGAATCTAGTTCTACAACAAGCATAAAAGAATTTAAAAAAAAAAAAAAAGGATGGGAAAAAGTATCAATTCAGTCTATTCTGACTGAAATGTAATACATGTACGATAAAACAGTTAATTTTTTATTAAACAGTTGTCAGAACTTTTGAAATGTCCCTCTCAGATAAAGTAATTCTAGGTAAGAAGACCTGCTAATGTTTTGCTCCTTGAGTCTGGATTCAATGCTTTCTGGTATAGGAGGGGGATAGGGTAGATCTTTGTTATACACTGCTATCTGTCCACACAATATAACATTAGAATCCTTGTTCATCTGAAAATTAAAGGAAAAGTTTTATGAAATCCATCACTAAAACTCATATTCAAACAGAAGGCATGGTTATGAATTGGAGTGGGGATGGGTAAATATGATAAATGTAAGAAGTAAATATGACCATAATTATATCTCTGGTCCTTTGGACTGACTGGGTCAAAATTACTACATACATTCCTCCATGAGGCTTTTGCCATCTAAGGTGAATTCATTGTGTTTATGATTGGATACAAAGTCTGAAACAAAATTTATGGGGAAATTTATCTGGTGTTACCAAGTGTTATTCAGTTACCTGGTTTATCACTATGTTGCTGATTTCTCCACCCACATTATCAAAGTAAACATCCACTCCATTTGGACAGAGTTCTGACAGCCTCTCTTTGACATTCTCTGTCTTGTAGTTAATGGCGGCGTCAAACCCGAGCTCTTCTGTCAAGAACTTACACTTAGTGTCTGAGCCGCATATTCCCACCACTCTGGTACATCCTTCCAGTCTCCCTAGCTATAGAAAGAAAATGATGCACATTTAAACCAGAAGTCTCTGTCGAGACTGAAGCTCTACTGGTTTGTACTTATAGCAAAGGAAGAGGAAATTTTCCTCTTCCTTTGCTATAAGTACAAACCAGTAGAGCTTCAGTCCTGGAAAGTACTTAAGCAGTTGGGAATTGAAACTTTACACTAGCAAAAATAGAATAATGATCCTTGAATAAGTTTCTTTATGTTCTTAGTGTAGTCTACTTGCATGCCACATTATATTATAATCAGACTAAAACTGTATTTGAAGTAGCATTTTGAGAGTAACAGAAATTGCTATCTTTATTAACCAAGGTAATAATGTTCATTGAAGTCAAAAACGGATAAAAAGAATTATGTACCTTAGTGTAGTCTACTTGTGTGCCAAGTTATATTGAAATCAGACCAAAACTGTAGGAGGAGTAGCATTTTGAAAGAATTTCACAGAAATTTCTATTTTTAGTAACAACGCCTACACCATTCATCGAAATCAAAAACCGATACACAGAATTAGTTTACTTGTGTGCCAAGTTATATTGAAATCAGACCAAAACGAAGAGGAGTAGCATTTTGAAAGAATTTCATAGAAATTTCTATTTTTAGTAACAACGCCAAGACTGTTTCAAAATCAAAAACCGATACACAGAATTATGTAAGTGTAGTCTACTTGTGTGCCAAGTTATATTGAAATCAGACCAAAACTGTAGGAGAAGTAGCATTTTGAAAGAATTTCACAGAAATATCTATTTTTAGTAACAACGCCAACACCGTTCGTTCAAAATTACACAGAATTATGTATCTTAGTGTAGTCTACTTATATGCCAAGTTATATTGAAATCAGATTAAAACTGTAGGAGGAGTAGCATTTTGAAAAATTGTTTACAGACAGACAGACAGACAGACAGACGGACGGACGGCGGACGCATTACTATCGCATAAGCTCTTCTGGTCTCTGACCAGTAGAGCTAAAAATCACATTCAGAGAAAGATTAATTTTAAATCTTGGAAGTAATAGTGTATATTACATTTTGAAGTGTACAGTCATTGAAAAGTCTTTTTTTTTAATTAAATGTTGTACTTTGAGGTTAATTTAAATTTGTATGTACAAACCTGCCCAGCTAAGGAGCCGCATGCCCCGGCAGCACCACTTATTACCATAGTCTGGTTACCACCTGGCTTTATCCCACCTTTTTCTTTTATTCCAAGGTATGAGGTCAAGCCAATCATACCTAGAACTGTGAGTGGTAGAGTAAGATTCCCTCCCAATAAAGATTTATCTATCTGAAATAAGGTACATAGCAATAAAAAAAAGTCATTATTGTGGAAAGTGAAAAGCCAATATATTTCATGTCAAATATTTAGCATTAGATTTGAAGATATACATTGGTATACATTCTGTATGGACTTTCAGTGAATATTTTACATATATCACACCGCCCGTCCATTACGCTTTGGAGTACCCATCTCTTATCCATAACTACTATAATTAATGAAACTTTCACAGAATCATTGTTACATAGTGGTATAGTGCCATTGTGCACCTCCTATTTTACTGTTTGATCTGACACTTATTTCCAGTTTCCCAACTGGCAAAATATAGACTTACAGCAATTATAATCATATGGGAGGCAAGGGGTATCATTTAGTGAGTTCATTCTCAAAGTATCTCTAGTTTTAACTAGGTAGCAAGGACTTATGTGCCCACAAGAACAAAGAAGACTAAGTAAGTAATCTTTGCTAGGCAAAGGTTTCCCATCCAAAATCTGCTTTACAAGTTACAACTCTGCCAAGGGTTTTAGAGTAGATTTCGGTTCGGAAATCTTGGATAGGAAAGATGATAAATGACAATTATGAGGTTATAGGTTCATCTCAATACAAACCTTCCTGAGTGGATTTTGTTCATTCTGTTTTCTTTTGAAGTAACCAACCCAAGGCCACCCATTCTGACTCTCCACAAAATCTCCGGGGGTAAACTCAGGGTCAGCACTCTTAATGACTTGTCCTATTCCCCCAAATCCCCCTAATTCTTGACCAATCTCCCATGGGGACATATAATGTACTCCTGTGTCCTCATTCATTCTGCACCTCTGAAAAAAACATAAACATTCATAAATTAACTCTGTAAGGGGAAGGAGAAAAATGCAGTGTACCAAACTCAGGGATTCAAACCCAGGCCCTCTGATTCTCTGATGAGGTGATCTACTGACTGAGTCACTGGCGATTGAACCTATCTGACCACCACATTCCTCCCTCCAAAGACACTTGCAACTCTGCATAGTGAGGCTCTTCCCTGGCACGACTTTTGCCTGCACTTCCAGGGCATGTCACAGCACCAAATGTAATGGGAGAGGGAAAAATGCAGTGAACCAAACGGATTCAAACCTGGGCCCCCTGAATCTCAAGTCAGGTAATCTAGCTATATGTCTGGTAATTGGTGATCTAACCCGTCCCGTCTGAAAGCCTCAATTGTAAACATTATCTTTTCTCAAGGATATAAAGTGTAGTACTGAAAATTACATATTTATGCATGTGATACATTACCAGAGCAGGGTCTACTGACAAGTAAAGGGTTTTAATGAGGATTTCTCCTGGGTCAGGGTCTGGGGGGTAAGGACATTCCTCAAACCCAAAATTGTCCTCCGTGGGGACACCATTGACACCTGTAAATGAAATCAGGAGGACATTATTAATTCCTTGCATCTAATTATAGCTTACTATGGACAAAGAAAAGCATATGCAAATCTTGAAAGACAATTGACTTACTTTGCATATACATGTACCATACAAAGTCCAACCAATTAAACTACATAGTTCATTTTCATTTTTTCTTTTCTTAGTGGATGAAAAATATATATATATTTGTTGAGTTTTTTGCATCAACTCAAAATTTTAGAGATCTATGAATTGAAAGTATACTTACCGGGTCTTTTAATAAGAATCACATGTGCATTTGTTGACATTTTGTTTATTGGAACTCTCCTGTCAGGAGAGGTAAGATTACTAAAAAATGGAAGCCAACGTGCCTCGAAAGAAATCGCGAATTGCTAAAAACAAGAAAAAGGCATGGAGAAAGGTAGATATTACCGATGTAGAAGAATTTTTAGAGGATGAACGACTTCAAGAAAGGACTGGGTATGACATTTTAATTTCCTTTCTCATATTTATTGATTGTTCTTTAACATCTTGACACATCACATTAACCAGAATTTACTCCGCAAAATAGATAATTACTTACCTTTCTCAAAACCTCCTTATAATGATACAGAATCGTTCGTTCTTGAAACTTCGTTATAAACGTGTTAAACTGTATGAGTAAAAGTACTGCACATATAATTGTCAAGTTCATTTTGATTCAATGTTTGTAATACATAATGTTTATTTCTTAAAGATATGTTATTCTGTCTTGACATTGTGTTTATTGTTGTTTTCCCTGAATAGAGGCCTGGTAGCTGAAAAGACTGATGCAGAACTTTTTACATTGGAAAAGAAGGCACCAGTAATTGATGAGGGTAAAGTATATATCATTTTTCTATTACTGTAAAGAACTGTTATTGTGTACAAAATTTTCATAATCAGAACTTGGTGCTGAAATTTGTTGCAAATTTCCACTTGTTCTACATGAAACTTTGTTCATGTTCAGATGTAAGACTTGGAAATAAGTGATAGGCATGAGCTCAATGCAGCTTCTTCATTAATGAATGAACTGAGGTTGACATGTCCTAGAAGGTTAGAGCAAAAGAAACCTTAATTGTAAAACTTAAACAGGCACATAAAAACACTCGCTGCACAGATAAGATAAAAAACTTATCATTATTCTTGAAAGCTTTAGACTGAACTGAAGTTATGCATGCCCCAAAAATTTACGAAATTTATACCACCTACAAAAGAGAATTACAATATTTTTTTAAAGCGATATGCGAGCTATGCTTAGTATATTGGATTCTGAAACAAGTCCATCAGAAAAGGCTTCTAAATCAATTCAATGCATACATTTCATAACAATTAAGTGTTTTATTACCCATTTTTAAGTTTTTGTGTCATTGTCTTTAAAAATAACACTTCAATTAAAATTTTTGATGACAGTAAAATCAACATGTTCAAAAAAATTCCTCTTTGTATTTTGTAATAATAATAAAAACTGTGTTATTTCCTTAGAAATTATATAATTATTGAAGGTTTTAATTCAAAAAAGTAAAATATAATCTTTGGTGATTGAAATTCCCATCTTTTAAACAGAATTTGAAGAAAAAATGCCTGTCCGATACGTATTGGAAGTTACTTTTCGATACGATATTTTTCTTGAATATCGATACGTATCGATATATTGATACAGCCCTACTGCACACAAGTGAAAATAAAACCAAGGCTGTTTGATTTTATACTTAAGTTGTAAAATGAGTTTATATTTTCTGTCTTTCAGAGGAACTTGCAGTTCCTAAGAAGAAAAGGAGAAAGGAACCCAAGGAGTTAAAATGTTATTCTCATCTTTTACCAGATCCCAAAATTAAGTTAGCACGCAAGTAAGCTATATTTTTTGGTAATTTGCATATTTCAAAGTGGCACAAGGAACTGTTACAAGATACAAAACTGACTGCAAATTTGAAAGTCATTCTTTCTGCAAAATTAAATTTGTTCACATAATTCTATAAAATATAATAGAATTTCATATTAAAAGTACAGTTTTAAAAAAAGAGAGAACATTTTTCATCTGACATTCTTCCTTTTTTGTTTGACAACCTTGCAGACCACAACCTGTCAGGAATCTAAGGGATAGAAGACCTCCACATGTGAAAGAGAAGTTAAACAGTGGTATAAAAACCCAGAAAGAGATCAGGGCAGAGGAACAGAGAAAACTAGTCAAAGAGAGAAAACAGAAAAAGGACAGAACTAAGGGCTCCATACAGGTGGCTTCTTACGATCTGTGGGGAGGTGAGTGGTACATGAACCTTATTTTGATCATAAGGGAGGGAAATAGTGGCTTATAATGATCTGTAAAGAGGTGAACCTTACTTTATTTTGATTCATGGGGAGGGGAGTGGTGGCTACATTTGATCATTGAGGAACATAGTGGAACCTTCTTTTGATCTGTTGGAAGGGGAGTGGTGGCTTTGTTTGAACAGTGGGAAAGTGAGTGCTGGCCTCTCAATTTTATCATTGCCAGCTATTCTTGGTGAATATAGGTAATCAATGTGGAAAATTTTGATACATTTTTAAAAAGAAAATAACTGTTTTATTTTTTATACTTGATATACATGTTGAAGAAATAAGAGATAATCTTGTGATTTGGAGACCATAAGATAAATGAAAGTAACATGTTATCATTTTGAATTCTGTTTGCCTATTCATTTTCAATATATTTTTTTCTTCAGTTTTCTGTTAGGCCTAAATAACATATTTGATTAATGATATCTGTAAACAGAACTTGGTCTTAGATTTTCTTTTTTACATTTTGCAGATGAACCACTGAAAAAAGAAGATCCATTTGCTAAACCACCTGTAAAAGTTAGTATTTTGTAAAATTCTTTCCGGATAAGCAGGAATATATCACAATTTTATAGATCATTGAAATTCCATATGTATCTTTGGGGAATATTTTATCATTAACGAAACACATGTTTATTGTAATCAGCTGTAATGTTTGTTGACGAATATTTATTACAGAGACCTAAGAGAAAAGCCACCTCAGATTTGCCAGCAGTCCAAGTTCCCCATTCTGGGGCCTCCTATAATCCAGATTATGAGGACTACCAGGTAAATTTAGCCCCCTCCCCAATTTTAGGACATCTTTTAATCCAGCTTATGGGGACTATATGGTAATTTGGTAATTTTAAGTTGCAAATTCTGAGGCCTCTTATTATCCAGATTATTAGGACTTGTAGGTTATTTCAAGGAAATAACATGAAATTGCTAGTAGTTAACCTACATGAAGTTTAGTTTTAATAAGTATTAAGTTAAAAGAAAGATGCAAATATCATTAATGGTAATGTTACATTCATAACAACATCTTCATGTGGATTTAAAACATACTCAAGGTGATATTTCACTAAACTAGCAGAAATGGCTTAATATTTTTCTGAAATATACTGAAAGGAAAAAGAAACGCATATTAAACTTTTGAGTTAAATTAAAACAATCTTTTCTCAGATATGTTTTCCAGCATTGTTATCATACATTTAAATTCATCTTTAATGAACAAGTTACCAAAATCTTGTGTGATTTTGTATTTATATTTCTCCTGAGTTATAAATCAACAAATTATGTCTATACCCCCCAAAAATAAAACTAAAAATTCTCAATTTAATATCCCTTGCACATCAGTAATACATGTACATACTATTTTCCTTGCATTGAGTTTACAAATAGCATTTATCTTTTTCATAGGATTATTATTCAACCCTTCCAACGGTAGTCTAAATGGCTGTGAGTTGCTGTATTATTCCAAATCCAATAAATCCCCCCGACCAATGAATTCCACGAATTTCGATTTTGGATAGAATGTACAGAATCCAGCTTGTTTGGTACACCTGAATGTTTGTAAAAAGTCTCGACAAACGCTAGCTATATTTTAAAAGTGTAAACACCCTAAAAACACTAGGCATACTAAAGTGTGTTCAAGAGTCAACAACCGACGTAAAGTTGCCAAGCTCGCGGCCCAAATTAGAGCCGAGAGTTTCTGTTCATTTTTGGTGGAAAAAATGAGTATGATTGTCTCCTGTTTAAATATCAGTTTCAGTGATAATGCGTGGACAATAACCGAGGTGGCATGATGAAAAGCCCTGTCTTGATGTGACGCTGTTACGCGCCAATGTCACCGTCATGGTTGGTTGGAAACATTTTAAGTTAGCTCTACATGCAACCGAATAAACTTATTTTTGGAGAAAAAGTTTAGGAAAACAATCTTCACAGCAACATGCTGTTGCCTTTTTATTCACTTCTGCAATATTGAATTCAATTATAGACCCAGTGTAACTTCCGTCAGCCATACCATGATTGCAAGAAATTTATACTGACTACAAATATGCAAAAACGATGTCTATAACTCAAATGCATCGTATGGCACTATAAAATGTAATCACAAAAATATCGTCATCAACATGCACGTGTTTTTGACTTTTTATTACTTCCTCTACGTGACGCCATACATTTCATGGTTGAGTAGTTTTGACCAGCGATTTTAGTGCAAAGTAACCAAAATACACATCTAACAAATTTTTGTAATTTTTGGTCACATAGTCAAAAAATTTTTGCATTTTATGTTCTTATGCGTTTCTTTTTCCTTTCAGTATATAAGGATTTGTTTTTTATTAACTGTTATTGAACATTTTAGCTGTAAACAGTCTTAAAGAAGTTATGCTTTGTTTTCAGGAACTTTTATTAAAAGCTCATGAGATAGAAGAAAAGAAGCTAGAGAAGGAGCTAAAGTTACAGAAATTTGTGCAGGAGATTCAGAACGTGGACACAAAGATTCTGGAGGTATGTCTCATAACCTGGATTTCCAATCAAAGTTTTACACTTTTGTTCAGGACTCTGATGCAAGTTTTTACAAAGTATTCCTAAAATCAATTAACCTACAAAAAGTTTTTAATTATTGAACAAGATGTGCTAAAATTTGATTATGACTGAAATAAATACATTTATGGAATTTCTTGTTGATTTTTTTTTTATGTAGAAAAGATGGCTGTCAGAAATGTCAGAGGGGCTGAAAAACCAAGAAGAAGACATTGTGAAGGAGGAGGAAGAAGATGTAATGAACACAGAGGACTCGGACAGGATATCCGTCAATCCTCCTGTCCGCCGGGAATCCAAGAAAACAAAAACCCAGAGGAATAAAGAGAAAAGGAAAAAGAACCTGGTTTGTGTGGAATGCAGCAGTTTTATCTCTCCTCTGATGAAATATTCTTGTTTTCTGTTTCAGGTGTCTGTTATGGAAACATGTGTAAGAAGAGAAACTCAGAGAGATTAATATCTCTGCAAATTATATTTTCAGGAGAAGTTAAAAGCTCAGGAGAAATCAGAAAAAACAAA